GTTTTGCGATCACGTTCCGTAAACGTAGAGCCATGTGTGTCAACAGAGGAATTATGTTATGGTAGAATATTGGGTCCAATACTGTCACCTCTTATGGTATTAGTAGCGACTCGTTTCCACCCGAAAATAGCCAGTGTACTAAAACATTTTCATGCTTAGGTAGGCCAGTGAGTGAGTCCTGTTTAGTTTCAAGTGGTACGAAGCCACCGCGTACGATCTTGTGATCGTATGGGAGGGTGGATGCATGTTCCGGAGCTGTGATTAGTTGAGTCTCATGGTTGGTAAAGGTACCAGCTGCTCTAAAGACACATCCAACCAGCGTTATGATATCTTCTTAGTGCGTGGTAACCCATAAAGGGCATCTTGTTTTGCCAAAGGCCATGTTTTCTGATTTGGATACAGTGAGCCTTCAGGGAGTACATCAGACAATCTCCTCCTTTCTTGTTGCTCAGGTCGCGTTGAAAGTGTGCATGCGTATCAATACTCATCTCATCCGGTATATTTGTGTGACACCAACGTAGTCTCTACGGGGCAGTTAGTTCTACGTATGTACGTGGCGGGCATGTGGGGCTGGTAATAAGAATAGGGGGAACCACAAAACCCGTTGTGCATTCGTTTCTGTCGAAGCCATTTGGGCAGTTGGCGTCCGGCGGCTTAGTGTATAGTTGGCTGTTTTTTTCCCTTGCTCCAAAAACGCTGAGACTAACTGCTCAGAGTGAAGGGCTTCAAACCCCCATCAGCTGTTTGGCCAAAGATGCGGCTGATAGGGATATAACCGGTTTAATGCCGGATTGAGGGCTGCTTCCTAGCAACCTATTGCTATACAGTCGTTCAAAATTCCCCCTCACATCGCACTTTACTGATTTTCTATCACAGGTGGTGTAATGTTGGTACTCTTCATCAGTAAACGATGGCGTGTGTGGTTTTTTATGGACCTATTTGCGTCCTCTGCAAATGGGGCTTAGCTCAGTGCACTGAACTTTTTGGTGGGGTCGCCGTTTGTAAACGGTTCGGCATATATATCTCTACTGTCTCCAGATGGGTTTTCGGGTTATTTTGGATCACTTTACAGTTTCTGCATACGTCTTTGCGGGCTGGGTTGCATATGTGCATTGATTTGTTGGTTGTATATTCAGTGGTTAATATCCTAGGTCCTAGGTTGTTAAGGGGTGTGGATTTTGGGCCTTTGTCAAACCCCAGTGAAAGTGCTGTGACCTTAAGTGCGGTGCACGATTTCGTTTCTGGTCTTTCCAAGGTTAGTTCTAGATCTGCAGAGTCCAGCGGTTGGGCTAAACCATGAGCTTCTCAGTTGTCCATTTCCTCTTTGTTTGATGTGATTTTCTGTATATTTGACTCAGCATGGTTCGGGTGAGGCGAACCATTAGGCCTACGTGTGGCTGCAGAAATACTAATCGTTTTAGTATATTGTACTGCAACGAAAGCTTTCAGACTTTCTTGCCTGGGAGCAAAGTTGCACACCTGCCTTTCTACCAATATTTTATTGAGAACTATTTTTATTGCTTTAAAGATAGTGTCGTTCGATGGGACGGATTCTGCTTTTATGAACTTTTCCACCTGTGTGTGTATTAAACCGAAGGCGCATAGCGTGGCAGTGGTCTTGCTGGATTTTTTCAGTCTTAAACGTTTTGCATGGACACCATACATTTTCGCTGTTCTAAGCAAAATTTCTCCTGCCATCTCCAACTTTTTCGTGTTAAGAACACCGTAAACTATTGCATGAGCTTTACCGCAAGTTTTTCAGTTGCTTTAGTGGTGATAAGGTCTACCAGGTGGTCTACCTTGGTTAGTGTTTTAAGACTGCTAATGTGAGCCTTAATTTCATCCATATGGGATGACACTTCAGGTGCTGATGACATGCTCCCATGTAGCGCGTTGTTCTGCTTATAGTCCTTCATTTCGCGCATCTCTGCCTCCATTTTCTTTATGGAAGACTTCCAGCCTTCAATTTTAGAGGGGACGACTGTTTCTCACCCGGTGACTGAAGTGTGATCAGTCTTACAGAAGATGCAGTGCTTCTGTCATGCTTCAAGTCTGCTACAACATTCGGCGTTTGGGTTCCGTCGAATGTTGAATCTGCAGCGTTATTTCTACTATCGTCAGCGCTGAGTGGCTTGGCTAACCCCGTGACCTTTCTCTTGCATATTACGGGGGTATGAGCTGGTTCATATGTGCAACTGTGAGAGGAAACTGCGTTTGCTTTGCCAGCATTTGGGTGCTGTTACTACGTTGCTCCACAGATAATTGTTTCCGTGCGTCTTTACGTTCAGTAAGGCTAGTTATTTGAGAACTTAAATGGCCCTATGAAGACGTTAGAAGAAGAGACAAGATACGGCTATGGAATCACGCTTAGAAAAGACACAATTTCGAACGTACTGCGGGGCCATATCAGTTCACCGGGAATCGACGAGACTGGGTTTAGGTATCCAGATCCCTAATGTTTGGCATGATGTAATGTGATACCCTCCCACTCACTGAAATAACTGTGTGTTTAAGATGGCGAAATTATGCAAGTAATATGCTCAGTTTTACGGAACGCTGATTATAGGCCGAACCGTCAACAGCTTCTTTAGTCATCTAGCCGCCATCTTCACACATAACCCCATCAGACTTAGCGTCTAAATAAACCTTAAAGCTCACTCAGCCAGACTGAAATAGTCCTGGTTTCGCTCTGATGGACCTAAATCTATCGAATCATCACTCTGCCAAACTACAAAGCTGTACACTAGAACCAAATAGACAGCCTGAAATAGAAATTATGGTGCCACATCTTAAACGTATTCTAGGTGTGACATAAAGGGGCTTAAAACGTCACTTTGGAATCCCTATTACCTTAGCTCAGTGACAGAGAAGTGTTCGTAAGACACCAAGGTGCTGAGAGGGGCGAAGAAATATTGCTTTTTAGTCATCTGTCTTTTGACCCCTCTCCGCTATTAAATGGCGTTTTAAAATTAGAAAATGTCACATCAAACCAGCATTAAAAAGTTAAAAAACAAGCCGTCATCGATCTTGAATTGTCAAGAGGTGATAACCGGTTGAGAGTACTACAGCATTGCTTTGGAAAGGAAATAATCATACATCAAACTTAGGGTGGTTTAACGGGTTGTTGCATGGCTGATATTCGGAGTACTACTGGCCAATCGAAGGAGGGAGTGAAAGGAAGTATTTGGTAGCACCTGTGTAAGTATAATTGCAGATAAAAGAGAGCAGACAAGATCTTCTACAACTCTAATAATGATAGCAATAATCTCAGCAATGATAGTTACGTAGTGTACACCACTCGTGCTATCTCATGTCAGTGGCAGTGTTCTCTGGAAAAGTAAAAAGAGTCGTCATTAAATCGTTGAAGGTTCTGAAGCAGCACGCGAATAACAAAGGGCAAACGGAAAAGAAAAACGAAGAAGCAGCGAAAAAGGAAAATCAATTATTCTCGATCACATACTGCAGAGGCTGTTGACCTGATCCGCTTAGCATACGGTTTGCATATTTTGCCAAAGCTCAGCTTAATGCCTCCACAAACAGTTTCTCCACTTCTCCCCAACATTTTTGCCCCAGCAGTAGTTAGTGAAACAATCAACAGGGTTAGGCTTGTGTGGATATTCCACGTAGAAGGTTAAGTAAGGGAGTATAGTGGGCTAACTTCTTCTGGGCTTACAGGCTCAAACTGTTCAATTGGATTCCAAAACTTCTGCTTGAAGTAAAAGGCAAATTCGTAAGGCATGAGATAGGCTCGACGAAATTTTATTTAGCAGGGGTTCTTCGTATCGCCTGCATGTCCAGCATCAACCTGGTGCAAGAGAATAGAGTTATTGCTCCTAACAGTGCTTCAGTAAAAAAGATAAGTGATGTTTGGATACGTAATGACGAAGATTTTGGTTGAGGAGCAGATGCATCTGACTTGGAATCAAAGACATTTTTAACATGGATGACATATGATGGGCTCATGAGGATGGTCACAAGCCTTCGTAACAATATTCACCCATTAACTAACGACACATGCTCGAAATTACTTTGCCAGCAGTTTGTATGTGGCTTGAAAGAAAACCAAAAACTGGAATATGATTGCTTTAGTCCCAGTGCTGTTCAGCACCGAAGATTAAAAAACGTTACAGAATGCTTTTGGTAGCCATAATAATCCCTGAAAATAGTGGTGATTTTCGGTGGCTGGTAAATGGCTAGGCCGGACAATGGGCATCCGCTTCGAAACAAGGGAAATTTTGGGCGTATCTATGAAAGTGCGTATATGGTTTTAAAAATTCTGACGAAGTAATGTGATATGGAAAGTCATCAGTGCGTTTTCTGTGAAAGGGTTGCAAGAGGTCAATTTTGTAAGATCGCCTCAAATCGTTCAAGATGCATGAAAGTCTGAATACAACATCCAACTCTTTAAAATTGCTTTTGCCGTTTCGGGGAGGATTCAGTGAATAGCAACCAGTGGTTCCATCTAGCTGAGGATTCAGCTATAGGATGGCTGACCAGTATAATTGGCAATGCGCTCATTTGTTTATCCATGAATAGAAGATGATCATTAAACAACAGTTTACTTCATCACGGAATAAATGCTAATCTGGTCGTTGTTGGATATCACCTGTCTACTCAAAATGATCATGTATAGACCCTTTTCCAACGCTTCTTGCAACTCGCAACGTCTTTCGGCATAAATAAAAGAGTAAAAGAAGTTTGTAGACCGCCAAGTTACCAAAATATTGTTTATTTAGACATCTCGTTTCATTGTATCGCCATCGAAGGTTTATCTGTAGGGCGCGTAAAGTAGTTGCCAAAGCTTGTGTTGGCAGCGTACGTTTGTTATTTATCGTTTGTTGTCAAATGTAAGTATATTTTACGTACTTTCTGAGTCTTCGGCTCGCATTTTTTCTTTATTTCTTCCCTTCCAGATTATCCACTAAACTCACCCCCTTGCAACAACATACCACCTGTCTACAGGCTAGACGAAGCCCTATCAACAACTGGTTACAAACCTAATGACAGGTCTGATTGATAAATATCTGAAGTGTGTACGTTCTGGAGGAGATGTATCAGAAATCATGGGCGAGATACAAAAGTAAAAAGTCTTTTCTATCACACTATTTTGATAGTCTTCTCGCTAATAAAACCTTTTCTGGTATCTCGAGCGCAAGTCTCAATAAATTTGTTTTTGGAAGTGATGGCCTCATCAATTTCTGCAATACTCCTGATGAGAAGTGCGAACGTGCAGTTACAATAATCCTGCTGCTTGTTAAGTGTCGCTTACTGTAGGTTTTACATACTTCTATTCATCAATTAGAACACCTAATGTTTTGAATCAGAAAAAGAAAGAAGTTTTAGTTTCTGCAGTTTTAAGTGCACTCAAAAAAAGTAAAGTGGAAGAATTATGGACAAACAGTCTTCCATTTTTAATGAGTGAGTATAATGTTGAGGTTTTTGGCTCCTGCAAAGCATTGGTATGTTGTAGTAATTTGACTTACGTTTTAGGTTGATACACTATGCGACTTCCTCTTGCAGCTACACACATCATCAGGGCAAAACTCTGAGGCTTTTAAAGATGCCTGTTATGCCTTCAGCAAGTGAGTCGTAGTGCAGTTGTTTCTAGATATATAGGATGAGAGCTTTAACTAGCTTTTCATTGTTTGTACTTATTTTAGTGGTTGTGGAGTACTAGGGTTTAAGCTATGTTCTTTTTGTTTTTAAGAAGTGCATGTGACTTCTACTTATTTTTGATAAATACTACTGGCAGGTGACTATTTGTGTACAAAACAATTGGATCTTTGTCCTACTCAACTTTCTTGGAAATTGTCCTTAGGACGTGTTGAGTGTTATTTATTTTGACGGTTCATCCGTTTGCAGAATCGGAATTTCAGTAAAGTGAGCTGTCAGTGTTGCTGACAGTCTATCTATGGTGGTTTCTATGCGGCTTGAATCATGTAGCCTCCAGAATTTTAATAGTGAACAGTTCATAAAACGCCTCATGCCATGGGCAGAAACCTGCAACTTTTGCATTCATTACCGCTCTGAGTTTCCACGCACTTAGATTAATACTGGTAGCTGACATTATTCAGAACATTACTATTGAATTTTTCGACTGAACTCATGGCTGAATTTAAGGTAGGCCTTTTTACAATGATTCAAGTGCTCATCTAGATTGATCACACCTGACATCCTGGTCTACAAACCAGAACGTAGTCGTTAGTGGCCATTAAATTTTGCATTTCGTTTCTGCACCAGTGCTAAGGCAATCTTTTATGCTTAAGAAACAGAAATATCAAAAACTAACGTATAACCTCACACAGAAGTGCATTAACTCAAATCGCCACACCACTGCAGTATGAAAAGAACAAGTAGGTAGAAAAAGAATGATGTCAAAGTAGACAAAAGTTATGACAAAATATTGGAAAGTGAACATTAGTATAAGTGTTCAAAAGGTAAATCCATGTGCACTATTGTGACCGATTTTCAATGATGTCATAAAGTCTCTACTATTAATTCCCTTTCTTTTGAGGACCCCGGTCAGACACGGTGATTCCACCATACTTGAGCAATGCATGAAAGACACCTGTGTTCAAACATCTGTTCTCTTTACATTTACCTTCAGTGATCGTCTGATGGCCATACAATGGGACATAGTAGATTGGATCGTAGTATATTCATCCTTTAACAAATTTTCGGGTATCTCAATGGGACCAGAGATGATCCAAGTTGGCGAATCCCGAACTAGCCCTCTGCATCCCAGCTGATATTTTGTCAGCAACCAACCTATTTGGGGTGAAGCAAATTCCTAAGTGAAGTGATCAGTATATCCTACTAACTTACTCCCTGTCCTTGAACATGGAATAGGTGCTGAGCAATCCTGAAGCGTTGTCTTACATTTGACAGATGCAAAACGCATATCAAACATACTTAAATTTCCGTTTCAAGGCGTTCAAAAGACTGTGCTTACTCAGTTCTTCGCCTAACAGGGCTATGTTGTCAACCTACTCCAGGCCAATCAGACATCCCTCAGGAGTAGGTTAATCCCTGTGAAGTCTAAGGTACCTAAGATTATACCCAATAATACATCTTTAACATCTGTAGCTTTAGCTACCTACCATTGCTCTAAGCCTTTGTGAGGACTCTTCATCATTTCGTTTTTAAGTTACTTTCGTTCTCCATCGGGGTCAGAACCAATTAAGATGAGTCTCCTCGTATCAGTCAGTTCGGATGAGGTTGCGAAAATTCACTGGCTGTCAACCGTTTACCACTGTTTCTTCATTAGACTGGATATCGCACCAAAATTCAACAAAATGGGGAACGCTGTCCTTTTCACGTGAAAGCGTCACCATCTCCCTTAAATGCATTTAACGCTCATTTTCCAGTCGAGTACACGGAGGTCTCTGCCACCTGTATTCTGTGACCAGCAAGGTGCAAAACTACGTGGCCGTACTAATGCATGTCGGAGTTCGAAAGGGTACTGGAGAAAGGGCGGCAACAAGATCTGTGTCCCTCGCTGGTTCGATGTCGGCGGACACCAAGTGCTTAAAGTTGGTACTGACCAGAGGCAAATGACTGTTAGAACGAAATTGTTAGAGACGCTCACCGTTGTCGGTGCTTTGGTACAGGATACTACAGTCACCCCTAAAACCCTATCTGATTGGCTCAGCTTTCCTACTTGAGCGTTGAAGTCAACTGCTATTATGACTAAACGTTTTGCTGTGTAGCAAAATTGACAACTTTTGATAGAATTTATCCTTTGTTTAATCTAAACTACTGTGGGTGGGGGCGTAGTTGGAGGTTGCGAACAGAAATTGACGAGTGTCACAATCCTTTTCCTTTTTTTCTGATCCTTTCGACCAGACAGCACACAGACGGCTGTTGACTGCTTTGCAGTCGAACAGGGCACTTTCTGCTCTACAACTTAGTGCCACACCACCATAAGACCGCGAGAAATGATCATCGAATCTCCAGAAACACAAAGGGCAAATTTTGCAGATTCGCTGCACTGGCCAGGTGGGGTGAAGTAAATAACCACACTCGACCCTTGTATGTGTATGTATGTACCCAGGGCTCGATATTTCAGAGTTTTGGGAAGAAGTATCTGCTTTCCGATTTGACATAGGATTCAGTGGTTAGAATCTCCAATGTGATATTGATAGTGTGCTTTTAGGAGACTAGAAATGTTTCGCTGACTTGGATCGCTGGCAATGGTTGAAAGGTGAGAGATTGAAGTTGTATAACTCTTAATACTGGTATCGATAAGTGAAACTAAACGAGTAGACAAAGGTAAGGAGGTTAGGTTATATTTGGTCGGTTTTTGTGTGCTGCTCATTGTACGGGAGGTCGGTACTTCCCTGCTGCCCACGCCTTTGAAGTTGTTGCTCCAATGTATATGACAGGAGAAGAGCTCCGATTTTTGTGACCGTAAAGGCCATGGGACATCTACTTGAGGTTTGCCATACGCATCCTTTTTAGGATTGTTGGATTGAGAGTTGATTGTGCTGATACTAGATAGTAAAAACCCATACACCAGCACCGGGATATTATAGGGCAGGGAGTTTGCTATTTTGGGGACCGACTTTTCCTACCTTCCGATTCTCATAAGGAAAATATAATGAATTGACAATCTATGGGAGACACCTTACTGCTGTCCAACCAGCAACACATTTTCGCCTTTGAATCGCCCATCATAACATAACCGTTTGCATTGACTAACTGCTTTTTTTCCTACCACTTAGCAACTTACCTTTCTGACGTAGTAGGAGCTCAAGAAATAAGCGTTTCAGTCAGTATAGCTCAACGAGTCATTGTGATATGTAAACCGAACTACTACTTCAGGGTAGCAGCTGTAGTTGTGAAGCGCCCCAATGAACTCAACTCTAATTAAGGGACATACTCATCTCTCTGTCTGTGTCTTCTAAGCATCATTTGCATGTCAAACAACCAGCAGATAAACGGTATAGAAGTCAAGTAGAGGTTTGTAGGTAGAAGTGAAATAATTTGAAACAAAAGTGGCAATTCACTAGAATGAGGTGGGATTTCTTAAGAATAAGTTTTTCCTTAACACTCACTTTTTTGAAATCTAATAAAACATTGGTTATTTGTTTCCAATATGTTTATTTCATTGATAAGTTTAATTTTAACAGTATGTGACCAAGTCACTCTCACTCATTTTCCTATAGTATACAAAACAACAAAAATCTACCGTTCGTTTACAGATTGTGGGATTCTCAGACGTGTCTGTTTTTACGCCAGCCTACATTGACTGCTTTACACTCTGTGGTTCAAATCTTGGCTTTTGGAATGACCCTAGCAAAACTTGTCCCAGAGACGTATATGAAGAATTTGCACATTTTATCTGTAAAACTGAAAAAAATTGGATTGAAGTTACAGAGCAGTGGTTTGATTCCTAAAGCCCACTTTTTCAGTATCCGAGATGTTGTTGATTTATCCCCATCGGTAAGCTCACCTTCACCCTGTGACTATGATCTTGATAATTTTGTCCTGTCTATAGCCTTCGACTTGTCCAGGCTTTAAAAAACCCGCTAGGGTTGGCTGTTGGTTTTCATCAAATTAACTTTCAGCTGGTGGGTGGTAACAGTTGTTCATTAAGCCTGTCTTATCTGTCATTCTAAAGGTTATTGGTAAGAAATCTGAATAATAACATTTAAACTAGGTTTTTTCCTCAATGTCTCTGTGGAACCCACCAGAATCTAATGTCTTTAGTAAACAGGTCACTGTAGCAAGGGATTATATAATAGCGAACCGGTTGATATATGATGATAAGCATAAATTGAAATGCACTTCATAAGCTACTCGTCAGTTATGCATGACAACTGCAATACTGTAGTAGGTGGGGCAGCTTTTGAGCATCTGTTATTCTCTTTGGCAAGCGCTTGGATGGACGCAATTTGTGAAACTTGGTTATTAGCTATTTTTATTCTTTTTATTCGTTAAGTGAAAGGAGGCAGTGGTGGAACAAAAGAATACGTTTGACTGCGTATCGATGTGCATTTTAGGACTGTTTCATTCGTCTAAGCACCCGACTTTCAACCGAAGGGTTGTGTTCCAAATATGCAGATATCAAGATTTTAGTGACCATGTATTATTTCTTATCTTGATATCATACATGTCACTGATAGCCTAGTAAATAAAGACTATCGGTTACCAAGGTTCAATACGATAAAACGGACATGAGTTTGTAACAATGTTTAAGAGTTTCGTGCCTCAACTATTACCTAACTAACCAAAGACTTTACTGCTTTAGGTCGTCGCACTATCGTGTTGGAACTCATGCTAAACTACTCACTCACTTTGGATTGATGGTAAACTCGTTTTTTATTTATTACCCAACAGGATTTTCGAGGTGTGAATATCATATCTTTAAATGTTTTTCCACCACAATTGAAGCTCTTAGAGAAGAAAATCGCTACAAAAACTATGCGTTTCCTGATGCAGATTGTATAACATACGGCAGAGAAAAAAGTTGAGAGTACTTCAGACTCACCATAACATTTTTAATAACACAGTATGCGTCTAACCCTTAAACAACAGGATAGATAGACAGACAATTTAACATAGGACCCGACTCAAAAATACATCGGTTCAATTTGTTGTACTTCACAGCAGCATACAAGGAAGAAGCTGATAAAATGTTATATTTAGGTAGACAAAAGTGCATAGGAGTTGCGAGAGTAAATATATGGCGGCTATTGAGAGCATTCAAGACTCAGAACATGTCAAAGTGTGTATATATCTTCGCCGTTGTGACTGATTTCCATCCATTTTACCAAGAATCTCTAACCGTTGATTCCTATAGTCTCGTGGACACCCAGTCAGGTAATCTGCATGGTTCAGACCAATGATCAAAAGCTTCATAAACTGGTGTGACGTCTTGATATGATCACTCTTAACCTTCTTTCAATGCATTCCTACCTCGGCTAACACCAAATGTCAAGGCAAGTGATGGCTTGGACAGCAAAACATATGTCCAAGCGAAGTCAATCAGTAAGCGTTGATAACTTCATCGGTTGACTTAGTTTCCTTGCCTACTACCCTGACGACTTTTCTCGAACGTTGTTCCCATCACACACGACTTATGATACGAAGACATTTGTCAAAAACCTGTGGTTTCTTAACGTATTCTTTTAACAACCATATCTTAGTCGTTTCATAAGACACGTCAGAAAACTCTTCCTTTAATATGTAGTCGGATATCTCACCTGTATCACAGATGAAGTAAGTTGGAAAATGCTAAACGGGTCTTTTTCATCTAAGCTAAAATTTTGACAGGATGCTGGTGATTGTAATTTCTTTGTATAGATATGCTGATAGGTTAATTCTCTTTCTTCCATTTTTCTCTTCTTATATCTTCTTTCCAAAAACATTTATATACATCTATTTTCAGAAGATGCTTTGTATGATCGGTGATCTTTTGCCGCATGAACCCTACCCAGTTTTAGGTATTTTGGACCAACTTGTGTATATATTCCCAGCCGTAAGTACTTATTTATGTTTCAAATCATTTTAGGCACCAATTTCCTCGGAACAAAGTTTACTCAGCTTAGCTAAAATGTTTCAGCAATTTGATTAGGTCACCTACTCAACAGTCATAATTTGTACTGTATTCCTGTGTAATCTATTTCGATGTTTTCTAGTTAGTGAGTTTCATTAATTAGCTTCACACAATATAAGTTAGAATTCGAGTTTTCACATCATTGTGGGTTCTGTCTGTAAGATACATTTGAAATTTTTATGTAGTAGACCAATAAATTTTAGGTTGTAGTTGCAACGTACTCTCTAACTGAAATCATTCAAATATGTGATTTATTATATCTTTTGTCTTCTTGAATCATGAGTATTGCGTCTCCCACTGATTTCCATCGCACATGCCCGACTTGTTCCTTTCAATGTTTATCTGCTTTCCTGACTTTTTACGCTAGTACAAAGGGGAACTTGAATCCATGCAATTTTGTGCAAAGTTCTACTTTTCGTTGGGTGACAGCTTATTCTAACAGTATTGTGTAGATTTAACAGTATGTGTATTTCTTGTTGATTTCACATATTTTAACCGTAATTTAGTGTTAGTCGAAAAAAACTGACGCGAAGGATACAGTATTCAAAGGTGTTTGAGCCTATTATGAAGTACTTCAGCACTAGATAATCATAACCATTATTGTATTGCAGTTCACAAATCCACAGCCTTTATACTAGACGCTTTATTTCTAGTGATGCTGATGAAGAGTCGAATTCATGATGCTCAATCTTGATCAACACATGTTTTAGCTTGGGTTATCTTGTTGTGTACAAAACTTCCGGTTAGCTAAAAGGGTCATAAATCCTCATACAAACATGTGGTAGTCGTCATCATAAAAACCATTAATTAGCGTTGGAAATTATTTATTATTATTATTATTATTAGTCCCTTGGGTTCCTAGTGGAACATAGGGCTTCAGTAGCACGCCTCCAGTGACCTCTGTTCTCTGAGATCTTTTGAACCTGGTCCCACGACAGCCCAGAAGCTCTCATTTCCTGCTCGCACGACCTCCTCCATGTCACCCTCGGACGTCCAACTCGTCGCTTCCCATGGGGATTCCACTCGAGCAACTGGCCTGACGCGTGATGTCCTCAGTCGGCCTTCTCAGTGCATGGCCAATCCATCTCCACTTCTTCCTGCATATTTGTTGCGTGATAGGTTCTTGGTTGGTTCGTTCCCAGAGTTCCTTGTTGCTTTTTTTTCTGGCCATCTGATCTTCAGCAGCGAGCGTAAGCAGTTGTTGATGAATGTCTGTAGTTTATTGGAAATGCCTTTCGTGACGCGCCAAGTCTCTGAGCCATACAAGAGCACTGACTTGACGTTGGTGTTGAAAATCCGTATCTTGTTCCGCATGCTGAGTGCAGAAGATCTCCACACTGGTTTCAGGCTAATGAACGCCTGTCTTGCTTTTCCGATTCTGACTTTGACGTCCTCGTCCGTCCCGCCTGTAGTTGAAACAGTGCTTCCTAGATAAGTGAAGGAGGTTACTTCAAGTTTCTCCCGTTGACGGTGATTGGAGTTTGTTGTTGTTGTTGTTGATGGTGGTGGTGCGGTATCTTCATCACTTCTGTCTTCTCTATATTCACCTGAAGTCCCGTCTTCGCTGCCTCTTCTATCAACTTGTTAGTTTTTGCCTGCAGATCTTCAAGTTTATGTGACATTAGGCATAAGTCATCGGCGAAATCCAAGTCTTCTAGGTTCTTTTCCGTCGTCCAGTGTATCCCCCTCTTCTCGCTGCCTACTGTTTGCTGCATGATCCAGTCCACCACAATCAAGAATATCATGGGGGATAGTAGGCAACCTTGTTTCACTCCTGTCTTCACTTCAAAGGCATCACTGAGCTTCCCATTGTGGATTACTTGGCATGTGGCATCTTCATATAGTTGTTGAATGAGGCGGATAAAGGTTTGCGGTACTCCGTAGTATTGAAGCAGTTTCCAAATTACTTCTCGGTCGACGCTGTCAAAGGCCTTCTCAAAGTCGATGAAGTTGAGGTGGAGAGGTGATTGCCATTCTACGCTCTGTTCTATGATGATACGAAGCGTTGCAATTTGGTCAGCACATGATTTGTACTTCCTGAAGCCTGCCTGTTCCGGTCGTAGTTTTGAATCCAGTGCGTCTTTAAGCCTCTCCAGGATGATGCGGCTTAATATTTTACTTGTTTTGGGTGGACAGGAGAGTGATTCCGCGCCAGTTCTTGCAAGCACTGAGGTCTCCCTTTTTTCTTCGGCAGTTTGACAAGGTAACCCTTCTTCCAATCAATCGTCAGGTACCTTCTCTTCCTTCCACACCTTCTGCAATAGTGGTGTGAGCATGTCCGCTGTTGTCTCTGCATCTGTTCTCAGTGCTTCTGGCGGGATTCCATCTGGTCCTGCTGCTTTCCCGCATTTCAGTAGCTTTATGGCGTTCAGGACTTCCATTTTCGTTGGGGGATTAATGTTCACTTGTAGTTCAGCGGCTGCAGGTGGTATTTCTGGACGAAGTGCAGGTGGTGGTGGTGGTGGATTCAAGAGCTTCTTGAAGTGGTCGGCCCATCGTTTCCTCTGTTTCTCTTCTTTTGTAATTAAATTTCCTTCTTCATCTTTTATTGGTTTCATCTGTGTTGGTCTCTTCCCTGATAGCAACCTGGTTATTTGATACAATGTCGTCAGGTCTCTCTTACCTGCAGCCTGTTCTGCTTCACTTGCCAGTGTTTCGTAGAAGTGTCTTTTGTCTTTGCGTGCACTCTTCTTCACTTCTTTGTCCAGTGTTTTATACATTGTGCTCAGTTCCTCTTGTCGTTGAGCATCCTTGCACTGGTTTATCTTCTGCTTCACCATCCTCCTCTCCTCTATCAGCTTCCAGGTATCCGTCGAGATCCATTCCTTGTCTTCTTTCTTCTTCCTTCCTAATACTGTTGTGCAGGTTTCTTTCCACATAGCTTTCAAAGACTTCCAATGTTCTTCCACACAGGTTTCTTCAGGGATGTTGCTCGATGTCTCCCATTTTGTCTTGATGGCTGCCTTGAAGATCTCCTTTGTAGTTTCATCCTTCAGTTTCCGAGTGTTGTACTTGAATTGAGGTCTATCACCAGCTTCCTTGAAGGCTTTTAACTTGATTTGGAAGGTTTTTTCCTTGCACTAGGCAGTGGTGTGAACCTACATCTGCTCCTCTTCTTGACCTTGTGTTAAGTAGACTGCGTCTCCATTTTCTTGAGATTGAGATAAAGTCGATTTGATTTTTAGTGTGTTCCACTGGTGAAATCCATGTCGCTTTGTGGATATCTTTGTGCCTGAACACACTGCCTCCAATCACCAAATCGTTGAATGCACAGAATTCTGCAAACAATTCTCCATTCTCATTCATTTCACCTAGTGCCTCTCGACCCATGGTTAGTTCTCTTCCCGTGTTGTCCCCTCCCAGTTTGGCATTCATGTCGCCCATTAGAATTTTGATATCGCCAACTGACGTCTTGTCCAGTGTTGATTGAAGTTGTCTGTAGAATTCCTCCTTTTTCTCTTGCTCTGCATTATTTGTAGGTGTTTTTCATAACATTGTATGATTGTGACCTTTCTTCCTTTTGAGTTGAATCTTGCTGTCATGATCCTTTTTTTGGAGGAGATTGGTTCCCACTGCATGAGAGCCTTCGATGCTCTTGAGGACATCATGATAGCCACTCCAAGACTCAGTGTGCTCGTGGTTGGCGTCTGGGTGACCATATTGGAGTAGATTATTGATTCTCCTCTCCAGTTGAAGTTTGGAGAGTCCACTCCCATTCCATCTGCTTTCGCAAATCCCAAGCACTTCGATGTTATACCTTCTCATCTCCTTTGCAATCTGGGCTGCCTTACTGGGTTCAAACATCGTGCGGACATTCCATGTCCCCACGTTTACTTTCGCTTTCATCTAGGGAGAGAAGACACATCGGCCAATTGGCTTCCCGAAGGCTTTCACCAACTGGCGTCATTTCGCCTCTCCGATTCCAGCGGGGAATAAGTTTGTTTTCATTTTTTATATTTTGTTTGTGCTTTGAAGTTTCTTTAGCGGTTAGATTTGTTTTACGTGGTAGGGTTGCTAGCCCTATGCCCAACCTTCCCTCTTTACCCGGGCTTAGGACCGGCTAGTAACTAGTAAACTAGTTAACCAGGCGAGGTTAGCGTTGGAAATTAGTTTCATATTTTTTTTTACCATGTTTAGCAGAAATCCTCGAAATGTTTACGATTTGAGATATCTTATATCTAAACTTATTCTTTTTTGTGTAATCCTTTTCAGTTTATAATGGATGAATCAACTTTGTCTAAAATTATCGAAATCCTAATGCGTGCGATCCGCGTATCTTCTCAGGACAATTGTGATATCGATTGTGAAACAAAAGCTTCAGCTGAAATATCTGAAGAACCTTCTGTTTTAGCTTTGGATATATTTGTTAGACTGGTTGACACTTTATCCAGTCATGGTTCGAAGCTCACCGGTATGTAAATTTTCTTCCCGTCCAAATCGGGTTACTCTTTTGATTCATTTGCTCTTGTTCGTACACATTTCGATGACGATTACGATGTAGAATTTTAGACTCAATATACTTCAAACATTTGTCTTTTATTTTATGTTGTCTGTATGTTTAAGTAACAAGAACAGGGATGCTGAAACTTTTTTTCTTTTCACAGATCTATCTAGAATACTACTTCAACTTTTTGATCTACTTCGAGCTTTTCCAAATACATTAGCTCATTCGGAAGCCCGCTTGCATGCATGGTGGCACTTTATATGTTGTTTACCTTCCGACCTACTTAGCGATGGTTTTAGAAAGGTACGTATTAAATTAATTATTACTTTTTTATTTTTAAAAATCATTATTCTTATCACAGCTGTATAGCAGATATAGAAAGATGTACGAATATTCAAGGATCTGTTGTTAGAGTCGTTACTTGTGTCTACACTTCTTATGACACAATCCAAACATAGTGGAGCTTATTCATCCATTGTTATACATGATTAGTGACTGGATAAAAGGCAAAAGTGCGATTCTTCACGCCTAGTAGTAGATCTCTGTCTTAAGTCATCATCAATATCAAAATTGGATCAGGCATTACTCTTAAGGGTTCTAGTTGCCACACCCCATATCTGTACACCAAGTAACAAAGCGATAAGATGAAGGATGAAGAAATGATGAATCAGTGAAAAGCAATAGAAAGTGGTAAAACAGGAATCAGGAATGAGAAAATGGTGAATTCAGTAAAGGGGTTAAGATGAAGATAAAGTGTACTTATATCTTCCCCACTGACACCGATTCTGAGCCATATCAACTAGTCTCCAACCCCTGGTTTCTGTTGTCAAGTGGAACCCAACCGGCTAGTCTGCATCTCCCTGCGTGACTCAGACCAACACAAAGACTTTGTGCAGTGATGCCATGCTTTAGTCTGACCGTCCGAGCCTTTTACCAGTCAACGTACCTCAGCAAACATTGCACGATGGGCAGACGGTGACTGGGCATGCATAACACATGTCTGAGTTACCTCAGTTGATGAAGGTTCACAACCATATCAACTGACTTTCCTGTCCTCCTTAGAACTATACACCTCGCTTCCACGTTACTGACGTGGTGACACCAGGACATATGACTTGTGCTACGAAGACAATAATGGTGAAACACCTAAAGCCTTCCGATGTCTCTTACCTTTAGTTGTTGATTTTTACAGCCATATGATAGAACAGAGCGAACTGCAGCACAATACAATCGACTCTTAGTAGACAGTCGGATATGGAGGCGGTGCCACGGATAGGATAAGTTGGCGAGAACCAACTGGGTCTTTTGTGTCTGCAGAGATTTTGTCAGTTACTGACCCTCCAGGGTTAAGTGAAGTAGTCAACTATGAAATCGCTGCTGAAAATAGTGGATAATTATATCAGGCTAACATCTGTAGCAATATCATACTGTAGTCTTGTATTCTACAAGAGCGGTAGTATCATAAAGAAATCCCATTCCTTTGTTGTGTTGATGTCAAACTGTTTTATACTCATTAATGTGTCTGGTTCACTTTCTATGTCTCAAGAATTGATTTTGCTGTGACCTTTAGAGATTTGCTTTAGTTTCTGAACGAACAAAGTGAGACTTTATCCTTGAAATGATCCAGAAGACAGAAGAGTAACCTTGAAAGTTGGATGCTAACTTGGTAGACGGTGCAAGTTCATATTCTTGGATCCCGCGCCCACCCTTTGATGTAGAAACAAAGTTTTCGAAATACTAATCTTAGCGTTAGGTACGCGTTAATGCATATTAAATTTAGCGATATCGTATCGCGTGCTAACTGTACAGTAGTGTTATGTATCACCTTATAGGAGCATTTTATGAAAAGGTAATGTCTGTCTTTGTCCAGAGAGTTGATATTCTATGGTATCACAAGGGAACTGGTAATTCATCCCACTTATTTCACTTATAAACAACAATATTCACATATTTTTCGTACTTGAAAGAATTTTGAACTTGATAAGTTGCAACTTCACACTAAAAAAATGTAAAACACTGACTAAAAGTTCATTCATTTACTTTCTGAGTGTTTAGTTTTCTGGGTGATTTACTCTAACCCTAAAGGCAACTTCCATATTCTAATGTTCCTAATGTAACATCTAAAGAATAGTGATTTTAAGCTAACATTCCTAATATCTGTGTTGCACAAAAGTTTGGTATTCATCTATTGCCTGGGAAATCTGTTTTTGAGCGTAGTCCTTCTTTCAGCTATTTCGGATGATTTCTGAGATGTTTTTAGGGCATACAGGCAATCAGTTACGACAGTTAAATATTCCTCTGTGAGATTTCAAATAATTATTTTATTTTTCTATAATATTTTGTTTCACAGTTTTTATCTCCTTTTTTGGCAAACCTTTTGGGACGTTATCTGAGCATCAGTGCTCCTCAAGGAAGTTGTAAGTCTATTTTGCAAAAAAAAATCTTCAAATTTCGCGGTAACTAAAAAACATCTTCAAATAAAAGGTTATTTTCTAGTTTATTCTTCTCTAATAAAGTTGATTTAACAGTTTCAGTGGATTTTATTCTAAAGGATATCCTTCATTTTGTTGATGTTCGGCTCCCACTCACACGCTGTCTCCTTGAAATGCATATCCTAAGTGTCGTCAAACTATTACTTTACCATTCATTTTAATTTCTGAAAATCTGCTAAAAATGTCTCAACTGGTATCAACGTCATCATGGATATTTTCTAACTATAACTAAACTAGTCTACTCTGTAACCATTGATTCTTCAAGAGTCTAGTTTATCAAATTTTAAAACGAGTAATATTCTCTAGAAAGTTAGTCAGCAGTGAAATTATCAAAAGTGTGTTTTTCGGGGGAATCGCTTGAAGATTACCCTGTTATAAAACGAAAGGATTTATGGAAACGACAAAATAAGCGGTTAGAATTCTCCATTGGTGGGTATCTAGGGCCGAAAATACTACAGTCTTTAACTAATATATGAAACAACATAATTTTCATCCCAGCTGTGTAACTGCTCCACGGAATACAAATTGAAAATAAAGAACTTATTGAAATGGTGCATGTATGGTGACTATTGTCACTAAGTTGATCTTAGGAATTAAACACAATTCCGTCGCACGCTTCACATTGCATTCCTGGGATCAATCTACATTTGGCTATGGACCCAAGTTTTACCCCTTTTAACGCTCGTTAAGAAAAAACACCTGTTACCTTCGTCAAAAAAAAGAAATCGAAACGCGTTTACCAATCTTGTACACGTTTGTGTGGTAGACAGTGAGCGACACCTATTTTGTGAGAGCAAAAGATACTACCGCAGTAGATCGAATGCTGTTTGAATCCATAACCCACTGGTTGAAAGTCAATGGCTTAAACCAATGAACTACAAAGTAAATCTGAAAAGACTTGTTACGAAACCCTAACATTTGCCGTAATATGAGTGTAAACATCGAAACCATAATTGTTACCAATGTCTTGGGAAATATTGAGGGCAAGTTCTGATTAAATCATTGTAATAATATACTTTAATATAATCTTAGCACTGTAGAAAATCAAAATAAGATTTTCCTGTCTTAATAGTACATTTCACTTTAAAAAAGTGTAAATTCACCATTTCCACATCATTTTTACTGCTTGGCCAATAGGTGCTTCTTCCTAGATTACTTCTTTATTAGTTGGACTTTTGACATGAATGTTCTCAATTTTTAACAAGACTAAACTCATATATACATATATATATTCTGTCGATTACTGAAACAGTAAAAGGTTTCTATTCCGATATATGTTGTTGCCTTATTCATATGAGTTGTTGAAGTTTTGGGATTCTAGAGATCGAGTTATAAATTTTGTCCTTAGGATGTTTCCGAATAGATGACAAAAATTTATTTATCCCATTTGTATTAATCGGGTTTTGAAAGCTGTCTGATTCATTTACAGTTAAGTACAGTTAGCTCACCTTAAGCTTATTATAATGTCTGAACATAGGCAAAAGTTGAATAAACAGCCTTTTCATTACTTTGGTTAAAAATCTCCAGCATTTTGGTGTGCTGTTTTGCATGTCTGTATCAAACTATTTTCTTTCGAGTAAAGGTTGACTTAGTTCATCGACCACTTTTCCTATTTAAAAAATGTCACTTTACATAGGCTAGTCCTTGAAAAAGTCTAGATTACTCGAGCTTCTGTTGCTTCGTTCATTTGTACGATATCCATGTGAATAGTAAAATAATAAAATGAGTTATTTTCTTGGTCTTTGAAGTTAGCGAAATAGAATGACCTAGGGTTAATTACTAACTATTTTAGCACATTATTCATGGTTGATGTAAAGTTTGACTGAAAAATATCGTGATCGGGTTCATATTCTCAATTAAGTTTGATATAGTACTCTACTACGTTGTGGTTGTGCATAAGATGTGAACAGTTAAAGCGTTTATGCGTGTTTATAGAATATTTTAGTTGAAGTCAAAACAAGATGGAGAAAGTTTGAAGGAAATTAGGTTAGCTAATAAACAATCCATGGGATTACTGGTATGAGTCATGTTGAAATCGAAATCCACTCAGCTACCTTGTGCATGTTCATTCAGTAGGTAGTGAGCCACATTAATTGTATGAAGTCTAATGATACTACCTAGAAGCCCAGACCTCGGTAGGTGTAGCTCGAACCTCGAACCCGTAATCTGTCGGTTGGAAGTCGTGTGTCTAGACCAATTAGCCATAGCTCCAAGATTCCCTTGATTGATAAGATCAATATAAATTCCAGTGATCCAATCGTTTTTGAGTTTACTATATTTTGAATGTTTCACTGAAGTGACAATATTTTTGTCGTGTTTCTCACATCTAATGTGCTTTCTTTTAATCTTTACATAGCTCAGTTTCATCCATACAAACTCAGTCAGGGGAGTGTACACGAGGGGAATGTGAAGGCATTGGAATTAATTCAGCATGTATATAGCTGTTTTTTCGATGAATCTTCAGTTACATTTCATCATTTAAATGGTGAGTTTGCTATTTTTCTTGTCGTCTGTGTCTGTACTGCAAGAAATAAAATGAATTTCCCTTCCTTCATACGCGGTAGTTTAAACCGCGTTTTATGATCATTTCATGTTCTACATAAATCTGAAATCGTCACTTTCTCCGTCTTATACCTGTTAACGCTGAGTAAATTGATTGGTATTATTTGACCAATTTTATTGGTAGAATCAAGAATGTTCACTTAATTTCATACGAGAATTCACAACTGAAGGTTTACGTAACCCAGTGAATGTTGCTTTTTTCTGAAACAGTGTACCTCTTTTAGTTACCATCAAAATAACACTACTAGTGATATCGAGACACTTATGCAAGGACTCTACTCATTGAGAAGACATCTGTTATTTATGTCCAGTGAATCAGTAGCAAGGAAAAGTAGGTTATAGTGTATGAAGTTTTATGATGACCTCACCAACTAAGCGCTCACTTAATATTCTGTTGCACGAGTTGAAGTATCGACTGGCATATAATGAATTGACGTTGTGATACGGATAGTTTTATGGTTTTTGTTCAGTTGTAATGTTCACGAACGACGAAAGAAAGCGAAATGCACTCAGCCACCCAGTGCACATCCATACACTAGGCAATAAGCCACATCTATTGTGTGAGGGCTAGTGATACTACGTGGCTGCCCAAACCTCGGTAGGTGGAGTGGAGTTGAAACCCAGTAGCCCATTAGTTGATAGTCATCTCCCTAAACCTATGAGCCACAGCTCCACTGTAATGTCCACACTTCGTTTCTTTTTCATTTTTCATAGTTCCACGTTTATCTGTCAGCAGCCAACTTTTGGTACAAAACAGTTATCCCATATTGGTTAGCTTGCTATACTGGATACGTGTTGTTTCTAAGTATCGTCACTCATCAACTCCGAAGAAACTGAAAATCCCTTCACATTGTTTACCTTCTCAGACCGTTGATGAAATTTGGTTTGGCTGTATAAATCATTTACTAAAAATATCAAAACCTCTTGATGGACTTCCAGTTCATAAAAAAGTATGTTACTAATGTGGTTATTGTTATTTTGCTACGAGATAAAGAGAACCTTATGACACATACTAGTGAATTGCATAATTGATTTAAGACCCTTTTAAAGTAGTTGGTAACATGTTACTACAAACCAGATCAAAAGGATTTAAATACTAGGCTATAAATCCTTTCTTCCTGATCTATCTGTACTGACCAGTAACATTCGGTAAATGGTTGCTTGAACCATACCTTTTTCTTTACTATCTCAAGTTACTGTTTATTTCTATTTATAATAGCTTTCTTCCTGATAAGGCGTGGATGAGCAGTGATATATATATATATATATATATATATATATATATATATATATATATATATATATATATACTCATCTACAGTTGACCATTTACGCTAAGTTCAGTTGCAAACATCTTGTGTCAACGCTTTGGAAAACATCTTATCCACTGAAATAATTAGCCATATTTCTGCTGTTCTATTTACACACCATTACTTGAAGTTTCAGATCGCAGTGTGATCGTTAATGATTTTGACCATCGAAGCAACACACACACATGTGATAGCTTCGTTCTATTGGATGTTGTTGAGGTTACGTATGGGTTTTCGCAGCGAAAAGTCTGTAAGTTGATGTGGTTTTAAATTTGAATTGACTAAAATGATAGGGAGTGATAATACACCTACTCGGTCAAAGGTTATCTGGTACGTTACAGAAGTTTCACAGTGGTTGGATAGTAAAGTGCAATCATCACCTTTTTAGATACATTCATTTTTTCGTTTTCTAGTTTTCAGTTATTTCAAATCATGATAGCCTGAACCAGTTCACTAAATTCTCAGAATTCACGTTATAGTCATAACTTGTCATGTTATAATAGTCTTTTTTCATTTTCTGAAACACACTTTTCATATAGAAATTTTCCAAATCCAGTAAGCCTAAACTTTCCACCCTTTTTAAGATACTAAAGTTCGCACCATCCTTTGCTCAAAGGTGTCATTGTTTGACTTCGCTATACAAGATTGCTTAAGAATTATTATCTTAAATGTTTTCAAACTTGCTTCCAATGTATAGTTACCCATTTTTGTGTTTCAAATGTAATATGTGGTATATTTCTATACATGGATGTACTACTTACATGCTACTCTTACTCTTTATTGTTTTTTTTTAATTTTTTCCCTGTGAAAATGTCAATGGTGATTTACAATTGAATTCTTTTTAAAGATTACACCATTCCAGTCTCCATCGCTGTCTGTGCATGTTTCCAGTCCTAATTCACCGCTCTTACTAACTGTTTGGCAAAATGTTAAAACTGTGACCTGTGAACTAATCCGGCCGAGTGCTTTATCATTATCCTCTGATCCAGAGATAATGATAAGTTCTCCATCTCCTATGGAAAGCCTGGTTAGTAGAATTATTTATTATTTATTTTATGTTGCCATGCTTAATTCGTTTTAATCTTTTTTAGAGCATACTTGTTTCACAACTTCGTAAATTAGGGCTGAGTATTCTAGGCGTTGACGAATGCCTACCCCATTTTTACTGCCCCTACTTTATTTGCTATTAGTTTCTTATCTGCATATTTCAACGCTTCTGTTGCTCTATTCTTTTCAGAACATAATTCACAAACTTATGCAGTTATTGGAAGAATTTAAACTTCCAGATAAGGAAAAGGTAAGCTTATTCATAAATAAAAATAAAATTCTTGTTGTTGTATCATAACTGCTGTGAAAATGATCATCAGTAGTGCGAAATACTTCATTTTCGGCATGCTTAACAGTTTTGCTCTCAGATGTTCAATTCATTTAGGTAACTGCATCCTTTTGTCGTTTCTTACTCCATGATTCTGTAGGGAACGATCAAATAATACTAGAAGAAAATTCCAGTATCTTGTGACGTTTCTACTTAGTGTCTGTCTTTTCTTGCTACCGTAGCTCAATTGGTGTACAGTACCGCTGATAATAAATTTACCAAGCTGTGGTGAACCTTATCATTTTCTCAAGCTTGCAGTCAATGGATTTCAGACGTATTTTTTTTATGGCATTTACCTTAGATCATTTTTTCAATAAGTTAATAATTGTGTATCGAAACCTGTTCAAATTCGCGTATTTCTGAATGCAAATAACAAGGGATTACCAAGAGTGTTTCAGTTGATTCATATAGGAAAATAATTTGTTAGAATGTATGGATAAAGAAATGCACTTAAATGATTTTCGCGTATTTTTAAGGCTCAGTATTTCTTGGTAGATGGTGAAATGGATATAAAGTCCAGTGAATGCAGCCGTTTCTAGTCATTTGATCCCTGATTATTCTTCTTTTTGGGGGTGCGTTTCAATGGACCAAGGAGACAACTACCAACCATCAGGTCGTGGGTTCGAGCCCCGTTCCATCTACCGAGGTTTGGGCACCCAAGTAGTACCACCAGCCCTCACTCAATAGGTATGGTTCATTGCCTAGTACACGAATATGCACAATGTGGCTGAGCGCATGGTAACTTTATATCTCATTATTTTTTAGTAATCTGCTTATAGGAGACAAAAGCTTTGAATAGACATAATTCATTGGTTTTAAGTGGAGAAAAATTGGCAACAAGGGGATACAAAATAATGAAGTAGTTGAAAGGGGTGTCCTGTAATGTCATCAGTCGACATTTCATAGTTCACTTGTTTTAACGATTATATGCTTCTTGTGTGTACATTCTAAGTCGATCCTTTGATTCAACTACTTACTCCGCGGAATAACGGATAAGTCTTCGTGGCTTTTTATGTGCTGCTTGCGATATCCGTCTGCCACCCTCTGTCCTCGCATTCATAAAATCCTAAATGCAGTTTTTCACTAACACTATGTTTCTTAATATCTGAATTTCAGGTGGATTTAGTATCTTCTCTATGCTTGAAATCTGCTGAATTAGGAGGCTCTTGGTTAAAAGAGATTCCTAAACCTAAAAGTTTACACGCTACAAAGTGAGTTTTTGTTTTCTAGATCCTTACTGTAACACTTTGTATACGGAAAGTTTTGTTTTGTCTGTTAAGTTCAAAATCAAAGAAAAGTCTTAAGTATATTGTGAAGTCATTCATTAAATTGAAACTGAATGCATAGCCGATTCCGGGAAGGGTGAATCATTGTGAAGTTATGAAACTCTGTAGATTAGTGTTTGATGCTTAGGAAGTTACCGCCTAACCAGATGAGGATTGATGAGAGAAGCATTTTAATCATCAGTTATAGTTATTCATTATTTGTTTAAATCATATAGCATCTGTTAACCAATAGATATTGATATTTGTTGACCTTAAATAGCGCAGCATTCAATGTTAATGCTGTCCTACTTTTAGTTCATTATAACACCTATTTATATCAAGCTGGCACGCTTATATACCGCATTCTTTCTTCTTCGAGTTAACCTGTTAGTCAAGATAGTTTTTGAAACCAAGTGGTTTTTATCCCAAGATAAACGTTAGATTGTTATGTAGCTTTGAAAATAACAATCTTGTGTAACATTTTGCTGAAACTTATGCTATTTGGTGACCCCTTACAAACCTATGTATTGGACTATGAACCATATTCACTCTGTAGGAGTCAAAGTTGATGTACCGTTGCTCAAACAGAAGTTGTCAGGGTAGACTGAAGTTCATTACCCCTTATTCGAAGACAGAATAGCTGCTCCATTTAGTGATTCCACCACTAGCATTGTATAACGTTGGTATATTTACAGGATTTTGGCATTCTTGCTTTTAGAATAAGAGTTGCTTGTTATGACGCTAAACTATAAGCATCACTAGTCACTCGATAGCTGACCAGATTAAAAAGCACTTATACCCATTCATTACGTTCTATGAACTGGGAATCACCTAGATACCGGTTTGATCCTAAATGATTTACTAAAATATGTGATTATGGGTTTCCTGTCGAATGATGTGTTGAAATTGAATTTTCCGGGAAATAACGTAATGTAACTTAGTTTACCGAACGGGTAATAATATTCTTGTCAACTAAATACTTTTCTGATACGCACCTACCTAAAAGCGAACTCATGTACTAGATCATGAAACGAATAAGTTTGTATTTGAAGCCTTTTTGATGTGATTCTCACGTATAAATATCTTAAAATTTTAGAGATGATTTTCACCGTTGGGCTACTCTAACCATTCGACTAATTGATTTGGATCCCCGTTTGAACATATCCAATACATCAGTCATGACACGTGGATTACGCTTTACTGGAGAAAACAACTTTCTCGGTTTGATTCGTGCACTTGTAGCTGCTCTCCTACCAGATTTTGTGGATTTTATAACTTCAAGATCGCCTTCAGAGTCAAGTCTTTACGATGACTCAACCCAACCACTTGCTTATAAAAGTAATTATCATTGTATCTATTTTAATTGACTAGTTTTACACGTCTCTACTTGCTTGAAAGTACATATTTCTTGGGTTTATTCCCTTTGGAATAATATTTCTCACTTCAAACGAGTTTTGGGTTCAAATAAAGAACTTATTTTCGTATCAACACCGAGTACTGGAAGCATTTTTTCATTTCATTCCAATAGTGAAAATGCTACCTCGTCAGTGGAACATTCACCCATCTAAGACGTGCTACTAATCAGTATTCAGTATTATCATATCAAGATTCATTTATTTTCATTTTTCGTTTCTTATTTATCTTGAACTTTAGATCCAAAGGTGTATTTTTCCCGGACGCTTTACGAATTTGGTCGGTGTTAGTCGATCGATTGACCCAATTCATTATATCTGAACATCGAGTAACCGAAGATCATTCAGCTATGGATATTGATCTAAGTACGGTTAACTCTGCTATGCTTATGCCATTTTGGTTGGCTGGTGGAACACGTCCAAACACAGTCGATAGTAATTATTATAGATCCTCCGATTCTGTTGAGGTATGCTATTGCTTTATTTCCAGTTTGATACGCACGATGACACTTAAATCCAAAAGAACGTATGACTGTTCTTGTCTCCTTTTAGTGCTCATGATATGCTTCAAGGTTGAATCCAGAGCAAGTTGGTTTCGCTTGAGCAACTAAGAATTCGATAACAGTGAAAAAAGGTCTTTTCTTATTCCTTAATTTCTCAAAATTACGTTCTCAGTTATTTATGAAGATACATTGCGTTGCATATCACGGGCTGGTTAAGTTTACGAATGTATGTCGCAGAAATTCAACCCGGTGGTTAAAGCGCTGACATACTCACCGCCGGGGATCGAAAAGGAATGACAGTGAATTAGATAAATGTAAAGATAGAGTAAATGAATGGTTAGTAAAAATGTTCAAAATTTCAAGTATGATGAAGAATATATGCATCTGGGCCATTGTGATTAATTTTGATCCATATCACCAAGATTCTTTTACCGCCAATTCCTGACGTTTCGAGGACGGTCTGAAGTCAGCCTATGTTATGCTTTTGAACGCTAATGGTTATATGTATTCCGAAACGGATATAATACGCACGCTTAGCTGACAGCTTAGTACGCAAGAGCCACTGACTGCGACCCCGGGACGAATAGAGAGAAGACCGAAGCTGGCAGATGAGAGAGAGTATAATAATAAATCAATCCCAAACACGTGAATAAGTATACACATGAAGAAGGACCTTGTCCTCAATTTGAGGCATTTGCATAGTAAGAGTAAAGACTAACCAATTTAGCAATTTACATTACAATGGGGGCAGAAAGTAGACTATTAGTCATACCGTAAAAATGATGTGGGAATGACACGTTGAGATTTTCAGATCAATAACAATGTTTTATACAAAACTGGGGCATCACAACAGCCTACACCTCCTTGCATTACTCAGAGCACCAATCAGCTACCTGGTATATTGTTTGCACATTTTAGTCTGGCTGCACTAAACCTTTTTCCAACCTGGTCATACTACATTTAACTTAAAACCTCAAGGTAAACGATTACTCAGCAAGCACTACACATGTTCAAACCACCTTAGTCGAATGTATAACGCAAGAGTTATGCAATGATCTAAGAGTTCTCATTAATGTTCATATGCTGAAGCTTCCGCCAACTTTTTCATCATATAATTGTTTGTGTAACTCGTTTTTTACCACTATTATTTTACTAATTGTTCATTCTTCTAATTACTGTTCAAATGACTTCAACATTACCCTAGTTTCCCATAATTCATGTTTTTGTCTATCCCGGTTCCATAAGTGTATTACGGTATCAGCATAGTGAGATGTTATTTTAATGGCGTCACTAAATTCTCTGTATTTTGCTGTGATGTGACACATGCTTTGCTTCACTGGGATATTCATTTGTTTGTTAGTGGAAGCCAATGAGTATAAACGGTGCAACCCGGCAGATGTTGATTGATCCTTGGTATGAGGGCTTATGACACCACTATATTACCAAGACCAAAGTGGATGAGACTTTATCCCTTTACACTTCTTCAATTTATCTTTTTTAGCCAGAGAATTCAGACAATTACACGAACTTATTAACAGGTCATAACTTAGTGTTACTTCGGTACTCAAAACCTCCAGCAAGTTAAAGATTGCCGAATGCCAGAGTATCACTAACTAAGTTAAGAACTGTAAGTTTCTGCAGTGTACTGATTTTATTTTAACAATTAAGACTAATTGATGTAGTGTATTGGGAAGTTAGCCGACCGATATTTGCTACATTGAAGTGGCGGTTAGGATCGTATATCATAATCACCCAACAAGCTACACTGACTGGAACGCTTAATCCTTCAAGGTCCTACCTTGCCAGATTGGTTGGTGGTAGGACGAAAAGCAGTTACTATTACAGTGCGAATTGCTACACTATGATGGGGATCCAACGGCGAATTTGTACTGTTTGTTGGATAGAGTGTGGCAGGAGTAAGGTATTTCCCTTGAATGACCAGCAGTGCCACCTTGATCCTGCCTTCCCTATGGGGAAAGGCGATATGTTACAGGTCTCAAGTAGATGTCCTATGGGCCCTACAGTCACACGAATCTTTCCCTCTTTCAGTTGCCTCGAAAAGAAATAGCTTCCCACAGTGTGGGCAGCCGAGAAGTGTCAACCGCCCGCACGCTTCCAGTAGTACGCAAGACCATATCAATCGTAATCCATCCTCTTCAACTCCGTCTCTTATTTTGGTTCCACATCCTGAAACTAGTATTAAACCTATACGCCTTCCCCAACCTCTCATTTTACGATCATTACAACGATTAAAGTCATCGAAACCTCACTCCTAGTCTCCCAAGACCCCGATATCAATTTTATGTAGGAGCTTCCAATGTCCGAACTCTGTGCCGAATCGGACAGCAGGCATCACTCTCCCAGTGACCAGCTAACGTGGACTGGCTGATGTAGGCATATCATTGAGTTGTTGAACAGAAAGTGTGCTTCTTGACTGGAAACTAATGGTCAGCCGTCTGTGTGCTGTTTAACTGAATGAATCTTCAGGGACAAGGAAGGATCGTGAGACTAGGGAATGCCCATTCGTAATCTCCACCTACTCAACCAACGACTGTAGTTCGTATTATGCAAAGGATGAATTCTAAGAGAAGCTGTCAATTTTGCTACAGAAAGCAAAACGTTCAGATGTAGTCATATTGTCAGGCGACTTTAACGCTCAATTAGAGAAGGTGAGACAATCGGAGAGACATCTGGGAAGTATTTACGAAATCCCATGCCAACGACCTGATAACGGCGGTCTTCTGTTACAATTTCGCTCCGACAATCACTTGTTTCTGGAAAGCACTGAATTTAAGCATGAGGAGAGAAAATGTCTCATATGGCATCCACCGACTTCAAACTAACGATGAACATAGATCATATTGCTACAAGCCGTGGTTGGAGAGGTTCGGTGGAGGATTGATGGCCTTCCTAGAGTACCAGTTTGGACTCCGATCACGCTTTAGTCCAGGTTCGTGTATGTCTGCACCTTACTGGTTGCAGGAAACAGGCAATAGTAGAGCTTGTTTATGGTCGATTGGAAGACAAGGACACCAAATGCGTATTTAGGAATGAGTTAGCTAAGCGTTTACGGGAACATGACGACAGTGCTCATGCTGATGAAACCTGGCGTTATATTAAGTCTGCTATAGAAACAGAGGTAAAGACAATTGGTAACCTACACCCTAAGGTCAGTAAACATCATTGGATTTCCACTAAGCCATCCGAACTGATTGGTGAGCGAAGACTGATTCCGCATGGCTCAAACCATAATGAAGAGCGAAAGCAACCTAAACGTAAGTTAATCAAGAGTTTTTTGCGTCGATCACGAGCGGCAGCGGGTACTGAAAGCAATAGAGATGGAAAAAGCATCGGGGTTATGTAACACCCGGCAACCATTTAAGCTTATCAAGGATACCGGCAAGAAGAAGATGGTGGTTAGTGAAACCATCATCGACAAGGATGGTACGCTGATAGCCTTTAAGGACGCACAGCTAAAATGTTAGACAGAACACTTTTAAGCCCAGCTGAACTGGCCCTCAGAAACGCTTTCATTCCCCAACATTCAGCCTAAATCTGATTGGAACGTAGATGTCGGTCCTCCAACTCCGATCGAAGTTGAGGAAGCTATTTCAAACCTGAAACGATACAAAGCAGCAGGAACTAACAGTTTGCCACATGAACTCTTCAAAGATGGATATAGGAAGTTGCCAATTAGTGTGACGGAGATACTAATTTGTGTATGGGAGTTGGAGGTTGTGCCGTCAGACTGGTGTGGTTTATTGATCATCCCAGTCTATAAAAAGGGAGAGAAATCTTCTTGTGACAACCAAGGGAGAATTGGATTGACTATTATCGTGTCCGAAAATCCAGGTTCCATGGTTATCCGACGCCTAACTGGAGCTTAAGAACAGCAAACTGGAGGAAACCAGACAATTTTCAGTCCTGGAAGTGGGTGGGTGGGTCGGTCATGTATTTACTCTCCAACAGGTCCTGGAACAGTCATACCTACGGGACAGTAGCCGACACTTGCCATATTTCTTGACGTGAAGGCGATATTTGACTCCGTTGACTGTGAGGTGTTGTGGGAGTGTCTGATTGAAGGTAGGTACATAATGCTAATCAAAGTTCGCTATTCGAGCTCACAAAGCCATGTGAGAGCTTGTTGGAAGTTGTCGTGTGAGTTGATGATAACTAATGCTATTTGCCAGTGATGTCTACTGTCACTGTTCCTATTTATTTTCGTTATACGTATACTCATGAACATAACCGAAGATACCTCTAACTTCACAGGGATTAATCTACTCCCTGGAGGTCATCTGGTTGACTTGGATGATGCACTCGACATTTTCCTGCTTGGTGAAAAAGCTGACAAAATGTAGGGTTTTTTGAATGGGTTGGACAGAAATTTGCGTATGTTTGACATGGTTTCGCATTTGTTGACTTTTAGATGGTGGTCCAGGACTGGTCTCCAGCTACTCTCATTTTAGTGATAGGGAATGAAGAGGTTGAGTTCATTGATCACTTCACCTACCTAGAGAGCTGCAACAGCCCAAACGAGTTGGTTGCTGACGAAATCTCAGGTTGGATACAGAAAGTCCATTTCGCCAATCGGGTAGACATCGAACTATCTACTAAAGGATGAGTATACTGGGCTGCAGTTCGTTCTGTTTTGTTATACGGTTTTGAAGTATGACCCTTGTTATTAGATGATATTTAGGGACTTTTGGTTTTGCTCAAAGGTGCCTTCGTAGCGTTGCTCACATGCGTATGGCGGAGTCGCGATATAAGCAGTGTAGATGTTAGGCGGAGGATACGATGCAAGGAAGGCCATTCAGTTGATGAGGTTGTGTTTCTGACCGTTGGTCTAAGCAGTGTAGGGTGGGGGTATAGACTACCTGGCTGGAGTCTGACATGCGATAGGAATCGGTGGTCGAGGACTTGGTGAAATGGCAGAAAATCGATGACAATGGTACAGATGTATTCACACTTATACGTCTTCTAAAGCTTGAATATTTTCATTAACCTTCATTTTCAAATTTCTTTTGCTCCCATACATCTTTGTCTACTTGGATATCACGCTTTTTCTACCCATTTGTTCTTTGTATAATCCTGTGAAGTGTGGAAACTTGAAGCGATGCACATGTGTGCGAGGTAATATGTGGACCTTGTCTGTATATCTGTCTGTCTGCTGAGAAATCATCTGAATTGCAAAAGATAGAAAACGGCATCTGGTTATCATAACCGATAGTTTTGTTAAATTACCTCTATATATGTATAGTAATCATAATAATAATGGTACTCGTTTATTTCTTATGTGGCGGTAATCATATAGATCATCCTAATTTTACAGACATGATCACTTTATTTGTTCACAGGTATAAGTGATAACGTCAAGAAAATCAAATTGATATCTACCTAGCTCGTTCCAGAAGAGTTTGCTTGGAAAGTGAAAAGGTGTGAAAGTATCATCATGAGTTTATACTTCACTATACACTTCCACGAATTCCAATTTTTTAGAGGCTATGCACCATTTCATCATCATCATCATTATCAACATAGGACCAGGCATTACTGCGTAACGGTCCGAGTTGCCACACCTCATATCAGCACATCAAGTAAAAAGGTAGTGAGGTGAAGGATGAAGATAAGTGAATGCAGTCAAAAGAAATATAAAGTACGAGAAGAAAGGAAAGAGGAGTGACAAAATAGTGAGATTCGGTATAGCGTTGTTAAGATGAGGATAATGTGTGTATACATCTGCGCCACTGACTTCGGTTCTGAGCCATATCACCTAGGGTCTCCAACCACTGGTTCCTCTTGTCCCGTGGACCCCAACCACCTAGTCTGCATCGTCCTACATGGCTTAAACCAACAGTCAGAGACTTCATACATTGGTGCCATGTTTTAGTCTGGCCACCTCGGGCCTTTTTCCAGCCTGAACCCACCTCAGCCAACATTGTGTGACGAGGCACCATTTAGTATATTTGACCTTCAGGGATGTTGACATTCGTAGATCTTGTGTTACTTTAGGGCTCTAGGACATCAGAATTTTTCTGAAACCTCAACCTCCTAACCTTTTGAGTATGGTTATTCCTACATATTTTTTTCAAATGACGAAAATCTGTTAATGTTTAAAATAATTATTCTCGTATTCTCACCTATTAGATGTGTTTGAAGTCTCTGCATAGTTTTCCATAGTTTTACGATCAGTTATATGCAGCTATTTATAACGAATGCCTGTTAAGATAATACTGCAGAGGTGTGGAAGTCTTTGCAGGAACTGGCGCGGAATCATGCTCCTGTCCACCCCCAGCAAAATATTAAGCCACATCATCCTGGAGAGACTAAAGGATGCGCTGGATTCAAAATTACGATCGGAACAGTCTAGCTGGCTGCTTTCAGGAAGAACAAATCATGTACGGATCAAATTGCAACGCCACGCTACGCATCATCATAGAACAGAGCATAGAATGGCAGTCAACTCTCTACCTCAACTTCATCAACTTTGAAAAGGCCTTCGATAGCATCGACCAAGAAGCAATTTGGCAGGCAGCTGCTTCAACACTACAGTTTTAGTGCCACAAACCTTTATCAACCTCATTTAGCAGCTATATGACGACGCCACATGCCAAGTGATTCACAAAGGAAAGCTCAGTGACATCTTTTAAGTGGAAGTGAAGACAGGAGTAAGACAAGGTTGCCACCTACTATCAACTATGATCTTCGTGATTGTGGTCAACTGGACTGGATCATGCAGCAAACCGTTGAGGAGCGAGATGAGGGGCATACGCTGGCTGGGTCGATGAAAAGATCTTAGAAGATTTGGATTTCGCCGCCGACGATAATTTATGTCCAGTCCTTTGTCGCAGGAACTCAAAGATCTACAGGCGAAAACCATTAAGTTGACAGAAGAGGCAGGGCAACGAAGACGGGACTTCCTTTAGGTGAACGTGGAGAAGACGGAGGTAATGAAGATACCCAACCAACGACAACAACAAGCACCAATAACCATAAACGGGAGAAACCTGAAGGAAGTAGTCTCTTTCACCTGTCTAGGCAAGGCTGCATCATTTCAACTACAGGCGGCACAGATGAGGACGTCAAAGCCAGGATCGGAAAGACAGTAAGACAGGCCTTCATTAACTTGGAATCAGTGTGGAGATCTACTGGACTCAGCATAAAGAAGAGGATCCGGATTTTCAACACTAATGTCATTTAGGTCAGTGCCTCTCTATATGGCTCAGAGACTTGATGCGTTACGAAAAGCATTTCCAACAAACTACAGACATTCATCAACAACTGCCTACGCTCGATACTGGCACTGAAGATCAGATGGCCAGAATAATAAGAATAATCAATAAGGAACTCTGGCTGGTTGGCAACGAACCAACCAAGAACCTATCACCCAACAAATATGCAGATTTCCCAGTTTTAGTGCATAGGTCTGTAAGTGACTGGTAATTTGCATTGCTTATGTTAGTCATATTCCTGTTAAAAAAAGATATGTTTTCCACTGAAGCATGCTCATCAGTTGTCATATTGCAGTTGATTAATAGTTCTAGCCTGAGAAGATATGTATTACTACCCAGTACTTGGATAATATATATTTTTACTTATTTCTGCTTTCTTTTTCCCCACTAACTGATATCACGTTACTGAGAACACTATATTCATGGCATGATTTGAAGCTGAATACTGTCTTCACCTTATGTTTTCCCCATCTTTTTATAATCAAGTATCTTTCATTCAAAGACGATTTGGCCGTATCAAAACGTCAGTCTGATTTACTTACAGTATTTCATCAAGAATGCTGCTTGTTGACTACAGTCCCTACAAATGCTTGGATTAGTCAATTATCTGCCAAAGTATCTGATCTTATCTCAAGTTATGCACCAAAGGTATGTCCTTTCCTAATAATGGTCCTTACGATACGTTTACTTTTGTTTCCATTGTTTTGCAACAGACCACTAATGTTAAATTTTTTGGGCTTTCGTAGTGATGGGCAAAGGTACATAGTCTTATGACATGTCCAAGCAAAGGTAGGCACAGTATCACCTAATTGAGAGGTTTGCCAAAACAATACTGAAAATTGGCTTAACTATTCAGTAAAACAAAGTAAAGAAGCTACAACTAGTAAACACTGTTCAATGGTTTTAGATGGCAAATGAGCTTTCTAGGGTGGATTGTGGAGGAGGGGATTTTGAGTAGGATAGTGTGTTTGTCTACTATTCCGTCCTTTACTCGAAAACTACCAGCGCTAGCTGACATGTCATGTCATTGCAGTGGGATGACGAAGTTCCCTGGATAATACATCTGATTGACTAGACTTGTGTCTGTTTCATCTGTTTTCCCTTTTCTAATAATACAAAGGTATTTTTCTAGAGGACAGCATCGGAAAGTACACAAGCTTTTTAATTGCTACAGTGTTTCTCTGTAGTGAGTAGACAAAACGTTTTAGGTGAAATAGTAAACGATTCCGATGTCCACTTTGCTTTTTACCATTCTTTAATTAACATTCTCTACCCCCACCAACATTTTTGCTGTGTATCACTTTAATAATTACTTGCCTGCTGGAAAATTTTCGTGTGTTATCTTTTGATGTTTAATCCTGCATTTCACCTATATTGTTTAACTGAAAATTTAAGGACAGAAGACTAGTGACTAATTTAAAGTTTTGTAGCGGGAAATCAAATAGTAGCAGTATATTCTTAGCGCAAGGCCAATGTAAAAACGTTACAGAACAAAACAATGAAATTAACTATTGTGAACTATATAAGGAACTATTGGCTTTTTAAGTGGAACCAGGTGGGTTACAGAAATTGATTATAACATGATCGACGATTGCTACTTATTGATGTGCTTGTAACTCTCCATTGTTTTACTGTATCGAATTGTTCGACCTCAATTGGCATATGGGTTCCTATGTGGATGTCTCCATATCGCCTGAATGTTAATTGTGGTAATTTACTTGGTTGTACAAGAGATGGCTATGGTGCCTCCGTGGCCTAGTGGATACCTCCTTGACGTTTGAAGCGGTGTGTACGGGGTTCGAGTCTCAGTGGGACAATGTCACTCACTGAGGTGCAGCTACACCCAACTGACGATTCCCAAATAGGACGAAACGCGCGTCCTGTATTCCTCTGCCAGCCAAAATCAAATCGATTACCGTGGTCAATGATTGTTAAAGTTCAAAACACATCCAATTTTATACGCCTATTATCGTTGATCTGTTTATTCTTTCAACCGCATACTTCCCGCAGTATAAGATTAATACTTATTTACTAGGGTAATTTTTCAAAAATACGAACTAAGTTACACAATTTCCCTTTACACGTCATCTCCAAACGAATTCTTCAGATACATGCAAATACAATTCAGCAATAAGAGGATGGACATATGCACGCTTTATTGAATATATACTGTGGGGTCTGAGTCTGAGTAGACCAAGTAGTACTGATAACTCTATCACACAGCATTCCAAATATGGAGCACAAGGTGGGAATTGATTGTGTTGAAAATAATTACTAAATAACACTATTCTACCTTTCTTCACTTCTCAGAGGTCATTACAATTCGGAGGTTGAAACTTGATCTCTGTATTCAGAATGAATCACTGGTTAACCTTTGATTGACCAGGTAATAATGTGGAAAAACTGTATGTATATGTATATGTATGTATATTTGTCCTGTTCAAGACTGCAATTCACTTAGTTTACCTCAACTGTTGTCTTCCTCTTCCCATCACTTTCATATTCCTGATAGGTTCTCTGTTACATTTCATGATCAGTTGATCATCAACATTATTTTCGAAATGTCGAGCCAGTTTTTTTCTTAAAAAAACCATATGTGGAAATTCTTTAAACTACACTGTCTTTCTTGTTTTGATACTTGTAATTCCTGAATTACTTGACCTCTGTTGGCAAATAGGCGCTATACAGATGTCTCGGTCTTGCTGGATATTCATGATATCGTATTCATCTTGGTGACAAGCAGTAGAATCCAGGACGCGCGTTTTGTCCTATTTGGAGCTTCCAATTGGGTGTGCTTGCACCCCAGTGAGTGATGTTGTCCCACTGAGACTCAGACCTAGTACCCATCGCTTCAAGTGCCAAAGCGTTATCCACTAGACCATTGGGGCACCGCTTACAACCATGCCTTTCAAACAGTTTTGCTGTTTTTGTTTGGCCATCTTGTTTTCCAATTTTCACTTTAAGTGTTTGGTTTTAAAAGCTTCATGTGGTTGGTGAAAATGCAGCGAACTATAGATTGTTTTCGTTTCATCATTTGTTTATTCTCAGTCTTATATTTATCTGAGTCAAATTTATTCTTGTCGATATTTCGATTTCACTACTACATCGGTTTCTGCATTATATTTCAAGCAGTCAACTCTTTACAAATCTTGAAAACAATGTTGCAATCTTTCGAAGATCTTAGCCGTACTGTATCTTACTTTCTATCACTCGATGTCATCATCTCATATTCTAGCGTTGTCTTTGACTTTACTGGACTGTTTATTGTGGGTGTGTGTTTCGAACCAGTTTTCGACAGACTATAGTACTTTACTGGTGGTGACCTGTTACGAATATATGGACAGTAAACTTTGTCCGAAACCTTATCGAGTAAACAACATTGTTTCACTGTGACATCTAATAAACAACCTAAAAATAATAATATTCAGTTGATATTTACAATCATCAGGCTAGCATTACCTCATCGGGCTATTCTGGTTTTGCCTCTATCCTAAATCACTCCAATCGCCGTTCCACATAGGAATAGATAGTGTAGCTAATTGTATCCTTTACTCTTGTGAACAGTGATCTGGTAGTTAAAAGACTTTCGTCGTTCAGAATGTCTACCGTCAAGGCCAATTTATTCAAAACAACTCACTTCTAGAAATAATGGGTAGAGGAATTTTTTTTTACACATGTTTTGCAAAGCAGCAATACCTTGGATATTCTTTAATATGTTGTCTTCGCTTCACATTACTTGAAGAATTTGTTTTTTAGTTTGAGGTTTATGGGGATTTTAACCCTGAGTTATTATTCGTCACGGGTTGACCTAAGTTAAAAAGCCATTGGAAACCTGGGACCACCGGAGCACTATTGTGTCGTCTTAGTATAGTATAGTACCCCCCAGTGGTACGCACTCTATTCCGCTAGGGATTGAACTCACGACCTTCAGGCCACACAGCACAGCTAACGCGTTAACCATTTAGCTATGCTACCTTAAAAATGAAATCTCCATAAACCCTCAAACCGCATAACTGTATAGTGCTCATTGGTGACATGCTTCCAGATGGATATCCGGAAGTTCTAATGAGGAGCCGTGACCTGTGGAGTCAACCAGTCGGAAGTGAAGTATATACCAACTGCAGACCTTGGTGGATAGTCGCTCTGAATCGCGAATTCGCAGAAGTAGGAGACTACTGGGCATTGAACTCCGATTCAGTAACTGAATGGATCCATAGGTTCTGAGTTTGATCCTTGGTGGGGTCATGGATGTGGGCTGCCAAGGAGTCGCATGCTAGAAAGAAATAGCTGTCCAGTGCTCCCAAGTTTTCAGTGGTTCTCCAACTGATTTCAACCCGTGGTGAATACTACCTAAATTTGTTTTTGATTACGACCCGTTAGAGAGCTATATAATTAACCGATGATTAATTAAGTAATCATTGTTATCGCTAAGTATTCTCATAAATTTTCCCGATTCTTTAAAAATAGGTGTTTGAAAGTATTAACTTGCATCTAGTTGGTCGTTTTCTGCGTTGTCTAGCACAAAGAGCAGAAATCTCAGAAGAAGGAGGAAATCAAATCGGTATGTCTACAGCATGAATTTTATGCAAACTGCAGTTTGTTTCTGGACAATAGCATGATATTCTTACACCTTCTTTGTCTACATATTTTAGATGCTTATTGTTCATTCGCCTCAATGAAAACTGACAAACAACCCCTCGGTCAGCTTACTGGACTAGTTAGTGCACTCAATTTGTTATTATTGCATATACCATGGCTTAATCCACCTACACAAACTCAAGTAAGTATATTTCGGGTGAGGAGTTTTGTTTTATCAGATTATTCTTTATATTACAGGATGGTTGACTTGTTTACGGGCTCAAACCTGTAATTCCTAGGGTACGGGCATGATATTGCACCAAGTGATGCACGAAAACCTATTGTTAAATAAGTGACAGTCCCACTTTAGTTGTTTATTGCTGTTGTTCCAACTCGATTGCAACGTGGTAGATTACTTGGGATTCTTTTTAATGTCATTTTTCAGCACCACCACTGCCATTGCCACAACTCAGTTATTCAACAAATGCTATTCCAAATATTCCAATCTTAAATTTGCTCTATTCTTCACATCTTTCCATTGTTCAATGGTTTATACTTTTGCTGAAAGGGGAAACCCATTCAGACATTAAAACTAGCACAAAGTAATTCAGAAAGGAAAGTGTTCTTTTCGGTGAATCGTTTTCAATAGCTGTGCAGTTGTATAGTAATAATTAAATAAGTCTACCACTAGCTAATTGGTCATCAAAAAGTAATATTCTATGACGAAACAGTAAATCTGTTTATAAAGTGAGAAAAAGATTGAGTAACCATAGGGTGTATCAAAAAAAATAATTAATTAATGATCAGAGTAAAATATTATCAGGATTCTAATGAGAGATTAGAATGACCATGTTAAGACGTAGGCAAGTAAACCATAAAAGTAAAAACAATAATCAGAATCAATGAGAGTAAGATCAATATTGAAGAAATCTAAGAAAGATTATGACCACAGCAAAACAAGAAATTAAAGGTACCTCTTCTGTGAGCAGAGCTCAAGTTCAAATTGTTAGATTGCCAACATCTCTGTTATACATAAACAAGTGACGAATCTGTGGGGAAGCAACATGACCAGAGTTGACCAAATAGTTTAAGATGGGGCTCTCACTTGACCTACATTTTTCTTTCGATAGCCAGACGATAAAGTGCTTGGAGATAGATGCTGTTGGAAGGATTGAGCTTTGTGTGGCCTTCGTAATAAGCTCCTTAAGAATAAGTAAACTGATAGACATAGATGGTTGTGGCCCATAGCCACAGTTTGCATCCATGCCTCCTGGAGTCAACTTTCGGTTGAAGAAGACCGTTCGCGGTTCAGCAGCGTAGAATATTCTGATTGATTTCGGAATTCGAAGGAATATTCTTCTCTTGGTGAACAGGTTGTTCCAAGTTTCTTGCATAAAGTTTATTCTTGGAAATTGCAGTTTTCTTTGGGATAGCAGTTACTGATGTTTTCTTCCAGGCAATTTTGAGGCGTTCGCATGGGAACCCTTATGCCAACAGAGGTCGAGCAATCTGATCCAGTATAACAATGGGGAATGACAAGTATAAAAACAAATAACAATGGTTTTTTATTTGAATTATTTCAATAATGTCTTTGTGTGATTTTATTTAGCTTGCCGTAGTTCGCACAATGGATTTGTTCAGTACTAAGATTTAATCCTAATTTTCTCTCGTTTTGTAGAGTGATATTTCACCTCCGCGTCGTTTCAACTCTCAGGAATTAATCGCTCGATGCTTAGCATCTCCTCCCATGTTATCCATTCGTAATCAAACAGACCAGTCGACTGAAGAAAAAGTTGGCAGTGAGTCTCATTCTAACAGTCGGTCATTGAATAATAGTCCGGTTTCCTATGGTTTACTTGATGCCTTGGAAGCTGTTACATTCATCCTTAATGTAAGTTTATGCTTTTCTTCATGTGAAAACTAAATTGTAGCTGAGAAATGGCGATGTTAGACTAATACATATTGTACCATTTGATTTCAACGTAATCCCACTATGTTTAACGATTCTGAAATTAAAAATAGAAAGTCAAGTCGAAAACAATCTGTTACTACTCCAAATTAGTCAGTAACATCTACAGATCGTTCATATTTGGTGACTCAACAACATGGTGTTTGAATTAGATGAAATTGTATTCTGAACTGCTTTTAGATCAAGCCATCAATGATATATCCCCCATGAGTTGCATTGCACTTTTCGTAATATTATGTGCAGATATTTTACACGACCAAATAATTTTAGTCATCTGATTAAGATTTCAGCTAATGATGGCGGGAAGTCTCTTTAGAGTTTTAGGGACAAATATGTTACAGCAAACAGTACTTAAAGTCATATCACGCCGTAGGTGTTACCCGTTAAAGTTGTGAATTTTTACGAGACATTACTTAGCTTGGAAAAGTAAATGAATGAAAATCCATCAAGTTGATTCATAGATTGTCAAACTAGTTATCGGTTATTGAAACCTTCTGGGAACCAACAGTTTCAGACCTGTAGGGCAAAGCTGATTCCTATACTACTACCATACAGTTTACCTTGCTCGATAAGTAAGTTTATCACATAAGTAATATAAGCAAATCTGCGGATACCAGGTATTAATACTGTATGAAAGTTAAAGCGATCTCCTATAGTATGGAACGCATAGTTTTTTGTGGATACTCTTAGAGTAATGCCTTTTGAACAGAGGTAAGTAGAGAGAAGCGGGACTGAACCAATAGTACGTAGAATCTGAGTTACTGCATTCCACAAGTTTTTGATACCGAGGCAACATCAATCTTGTTAAATGTTCTTGGTTTGTATATCATTTATACTAATCGTAAAATTTGGAAACCTGTGAATAAATTGCTTTTCTTTTTTTCAAGCTTATATTTTACTACTGTGACTATTATTGCTTTTAAAAAACTTAGAATCACGTTCGTGACACAGATTCTGTACTATGGATATTTTCTGCCTTGGAACCCAGCCTAGATCGATTAATTCATTGTTGTGTCAAAGCTGAAGAAGCTGTGATTGCAGCAGGGACAGATTTAGATGAGCCGCTTTTAATTACTCAGCATAGACAACAGGCTAAACTAACTGTAAGTCTGTAATGAATCACTTAATTGACTACTAGTTGATTTTTTATTTCTTATAAAGCTTGGTTATATCACTTTCATATTTTATCATTTCAACTAAATCCATGCTATTTATCCGTATTTTGAACTTACATTTATTTTGCCTTCTGTAATAATATGATTTTCACCGTTGGTATTAGTTTCACTGCAGTTATTTATGTAAAATTTCCCCTTATTTGATTATTCGTTATTCCAGTTAGAGGAGGTTTTTATATGCATTTGGAAGCAGTTGAAAATTGTTCCTCCTAATGTATCTGTTACGAATCCTTTATCTATGCTAAATACGATGCAATGTGATCAAAATTCGAAGACTTCTGTACCGAATTCAAAAATAACTCGTGCGGTTGCGTTGGACGAACAGTATCAAGGTATTCTTAACTTATCGTTCGCTTTATGTGGTTACAATCTAGAATCGAGTAAGGGTTCTCATAAATCAGGTACGTTTTCTTGGTTATTGATAGTTTCTTTTTGATTCTTCAATTCATTTTCTGTGTTTATTAAAAAAGGAAGTTATCATTCGTTCATATTCGAAAACTTGATGAAAAGTAGTTTATGTGGATAACCAAGGGATCATTTGAAATTGAGTACTGTTCTACATGAGTTCAGTCTGGATTTGTCAAGTCTCATCGGCGCTTACTTCTATCTCCCTTCCAGAGTAGAAGCTAGACCATTTACGTTTCGTGACAATCAAGTTAATATTAGACCAAATAAATAAAGTCCTCTAGTTCTCCGTATCCGAATGTACCCAGTGTGTAATATACCACAGCTGTCTCCTGTGATAAAGTGATTACAGTTTTTACGGTAGGGGGCGTGTGATGATTGGAGGGAGAGGGATTTAGTGGTTTCCCAAGTTGGTATTCATCATGGACCGACATCAGTTGGAGGGATATTGGAAACCTGAAAGTACTGGACAGCTGTTTCGTCCTAGTATGAGACTCCTTAGCAGTGCGCACCCATGACCCCCGCCAGGGATTGAACCCAGGAAGTCGTGACCAACTCATCAGCGCTGATGAGAGCAAAATCATAGGTTAACGTACTGCACTCAATTTATGACTATCCCTAAAACTGAAACTATGTAATAGCTAAGGCGACTTAAGAGTGGATCGTCCCTCCTTCTCATCTATCAACATAGGACCAGGCGTTACTGCGTAACGGTCCGAGTTGCCACAGCTCATATCAGTACATCAAGTAAGAAGAGAGTGAAGTGAAAGATGAAGGAAAGAAAATTCAGTCAAAAGAAATATAAAGTACGAAAAGATAGGAAGGAAGAATGACAAAATGATGAGAATCGGTATAGTGTTAAGATGAGGATAATGTATGTATACATCTTCACCACTGTCTTTGGTTCTGAGCCATATCACCTAGAGTCTCCAACCACTGATTTGTCTTGTCCCGCATACCATACTCGTATAGTCTGTATCGCCCTACATGGCTCAAACCAACAGTCCAAAGACTTCATACATTGGTGCCATGATCTAGTCTGGCAGCCTCGCGCCTTTTTCTAGTCTGAACCTACTTCGGCCAACATTGCGTGATGAGGCAGTCGGTGGCTAGGCATACGTAACACATGTCTAACCATCTCAGTCGACGAAGGTTCACAACCTCGTCAACTGATTTACCTCTTCTCCCTAAAACTCTACACCTAACTTCTGCATTACTCACGTGGTGACACCGCGGAATACTTCGAAGTCAACGGTGGTCAAACACCTGGAACCTCATGTCTTCCGCCTTCAGTGGCCATTTTTCACAGCCATAAAGTAGAACGAACCGGACTGCTGTGCAGTACACGCGACTCCTAATAGACAATCGGATATCACGGCGGCACCACAGGTGGTGTAAGTAGGCTCAAGACAACCGAGCCTTTTGTGTCCGTGCAGAAATTTCACTGGCCAGGGTAACAGGGCTGATACTACTTCCCAGATAAGTGAAGTGGTCGACTCACTCACCACTACACTATCTATCTATGGTGCAGTTGAAGACCAATCCTGGAGCAACAATTTGCATTTGGGTTGTGAAAAACGCATCCCAAACATTTTCTAATTGCCACTCGAAGTCTTCAGAAGACTCTGTATCTTGTCAGCGTCTTCACCTAACAGGATCATGTCATCTGCGTATTCTAGATCTTGATGTGTGAAATATACCCATAATGATTTGAAGGAAGAGCAAGTACTTCAGCGAAGAGTCTCTTTTCGGCGATTTCATTTTCAAAGCTATACAATCGCAAATTTATACATTTTTCTGGTCTAAGGATTTGATAGTTAAAAACGGTTTACCAAGTATAGAAACAGAAATAGTGTCAATAAATGAGTTTGTCATTACAAAAATAATAAAAGAAACCCAAAAAGCTGATGAGTACTGAATTGTGATCAGGCAGAACATAACAACAAGAGTGAGTAGCAAATTTCTTATAAGGTGAATACTGTGGAAACAGAAAGATGAAGAGAAAAAGGGGAGGGGAGCAGAGAAAACTGAAAACTAAGACCATGAAAGGAGAAGGGGTTAGACAGCCTTTTGTGTACACATTTTAGGCTTCTCCATTTGTATGGCGAAAGCTTCGGTGGTGCAAAGAATACCAAGGCATACAGTCTTTGGGAGGTTTTTGAGATAGAGTGATTTGTGTTTACGATGTGTTCAGTTGTAGCAATTCTTATCGTTCCATTGTTACCTCTTTGTAACCATGCAGGATAGTGTTCTTGAACCCTTTTGGATAGCATTGGCGTCGAACGACCTTTATACCTGGCTCCACAAGAGCAGGTAAATTGATATCTGCACATATAAGTGGTCAGATGCGAAAGTTGTAACGAAAATTCTCCCATGATTAGGTCAAGCTCTGTGTAGTCAGGTGACGAGAGGGAGACCTCCATAAGAACATCTATGATACAATTGAATAAGAATAGAGAGAGTGGGCCCTCCTAACGGACACTACTTGAAGAGAACTGCTCCTCGGGATATCTCACCATAGGCTCTAACACGCCTGCAAGTGTTCGAGTAGAGAGCCTTCAATAAGGTGATGTACTTACTCGGCACACCTTTCAATGAGAGACATTGCCATAAGATTTCTCGATCAACGGAGTCGAATATCATCTTCAGATCGAGAAATACAGCCAGTGTCGGGCGTCGGTAAGCATGCCTGTGTTCCAGAGCCTGGCGCAGTGCGAATATTTGGTCAATACACCCGCGGCTGGGTTTAAAGCCTACCTGGTTTTCTCGGGCTTGTTGTTCCCGAGTTCCACTCAGGCGTCGAAGAATTATAGAACCTGGAATCTTAGACACTGTTCGTCAGGCTGATTCTTCTGTGGTTATTACAAGAGAACTTTTCGCCTTTCTTGAAGACTGGGATGATCAGTGACTTAGACCAGTCAGAGGGGATCGTATTTGATTCTGATATACTAGCTGACACTTTTGTTAACCTGACTAATAGCATCTTAACACCATCCTTGTAATACCTCTGAAGCTAGTCCGTCTGGTGCTGCCGCCCCTCCTCGTTTCAAGTTACCTACAGCTCTCTCGACTTCTTCAATTGTTGGGGGGCCTATCTCGATGTTCCACTCAGGATTCGACTGGATTGCAGACAACGCGATGGTGGCTGGAGGTCAGTTAAACTGTTCCTCGAAGTGTTCTGCCCATCGTTCCAGTCGTCTCCCTGCGAGTGAATCGCAGATCCGTCCTTCTCCGCTATGGTCTCACTGCTGTTGACCATTTCCCCCAGTCTCCTTAATAAGTCTAAATAACTGTCTACTGTTACCGATCGCCGCTGCCTTTTCCATCTCTTTAGCCTTTGCTGCCCACCACTGTTCACGATCGTTGCGCAGACTTTTCGTCAGTTTATTTTTAAGTTGCGCTCGCTCTTCATTGTACTCAGAGCCTGCAGGGATGCATTCACGTGCATCCATTAGTTTGGAAGAAGCTGCTGATATCCACTGGCTCTTTTTAGCCATTATCTTGGAGTCGGCTACAGTCTCCAGTGCTGCTTTTACAGTAGACTGAAGATGGCACCAAGCTTCTTCTGGATGAGTGACAGTCTTTTGTTCCGATAACTGCCTAGCCAACTTCTCACTGAACACGGCTTTGGTGTTTTCGTTGTCCAGCAGAACTCGTAGTGGTTTTGTTGCCAAATTTTTTCTACGTCCATTGAGACGCAGGCATATACGTGCTCGGACCAACGCATGATCGCTGTCCAAACACGTACTCCAGAAGGAGCGGCAGTCTTCCACCGATCCTCTCCAGCGATGACTAATAGCAATGTGGTCTATCTGTGTCCATCGCTGAGTCGAGCTCGGTGGACGCCAGGTCAGACAGTGCCTTTCTTTATGTCTGAAATTTGTGCTGGCTAAAAATAGGCGGTTATCTGAGCATAGTTGTAATAGGCGATCACCGTTATCTGTACGTTCAGCTGGGATTCCGAAAGTGCCACCTAAGTGCCTTTCTGCCTCACTCAGTCTACCCACCTGTGCGTTGAGGTCACCTGCAACAACCACTACGTCCGAACGTTTGGCTTTCGAGAGGAGGTTAGACAGTTTATGGTAGAACTCGTCCTTCACTTCATCCGAACTACAGTCAGTGGGTGCGTAAGCAGAGATTACAAAGAGACAACGGCGAGTCTCACTATTCCTTTTAGTTCTCACTGTGCCGTTCAGCCTCATAGCGCAGAGGCGACTATCAACTGGGATCCAGTCTAGTAGTGAGTTTTCTGCCCTGGTGCTTAATGCTATACCTACACCTGCAAGACCACGAGAGCTAGCTATCGAATCTCCAGAAACTCGAAGGGTGAATTTTGCAGATTCACCAGATTGGTCAGGAGAGGTCAGGTGAATAACCACACTTGGGTCCTGTATGCGTGTCTCACAAACACAGCACACATCCATGCCCGAGTTGCTAGAGTCTTTGCCAACGAAGCCTGTTGGCCAATTTGACGGAGGGTGCGGACATTGAAGGCTCCAATATGTAATTTGGAGCGTGGTTTAAGGAGACCAGGGATGCTGTTCTGTGGACTCAGATCGTTGTCGAAGGCTGCAGAGGTAGGAGAAATTGAAGATGATGCAGCATCATTAATTAAGAGACGTGAAGGAAGATTAGAAGGTAATGATGGAGGAGGAGGATAGCAGTCAGAAGAAACTTGGGTGCTGACAGAGTTGTGAGGGCGGTTGACACTTCCCGGCTGCCCACACCGTGGAAGGCTATTTCTTCTTAAGGTACCTGAAAGAGATTTGTGTGACCGCAGAGCCCATCGGACATCTGCTTGAGGCCTGTCACACCCAGCCTTTTGAGTATGATTATTTTGAACTTTTGTATTTTTGGGGCCGGATGGTCGAAAGGAAACGACAAGTGAACCAACACCGCCGGCCCGGCAGACCGTGGGGCGTGGTGGAGTGTGTTATTTTTGGGGCCGACCTTTTCTAACCCCCCCTTCCACTGAGAAGGCAGCATCAGCATGGCACTGCTGGTCATCCAAGGGAAACACCTTACTGCTGTCACACCCCATCCAGCTAGCAGCAGTACGACTTCGCCCTCAGACCCCCATCATAGTTTAGCAATTTACACTACAACGGTAACTGCTTTTCGTCTAACCACTATCCAACAGACCTTTCTGGTATGGTAGGACCTTGAGGGAACAAGTGTTTCACCAGTATAGTTCGTTGGGTCATTGTGATATGCAAGCCCGACCACCATATCAAGGTGGCAGCTATCGGTTGGGATTGTTCCTCACAACATATCGTTTCATTTAATCCAGTAAAAATGTTCATATACAAATAGTTGAACTGAAAATTCTATGAATAGAAACCATACATCTGAAAATGTACAACTGATTAGAAGTAGGAGCGATGATCACCATACAGCTGATGATTTGTTACGTACAGTATATAGGGTTGCCTTATCGTCCACTACATCATCATTGTTATTACACTAAATATACCCATTGAATCGTAGAACAAATAGTTCAGCAAAAGAAGTCCTTTTCAACGAATTTTTTTCAAACAGCCGTACAATAGTATATATGTTAATTTTTTAAATCATGATTTACGTGCTTGTTCTTGACGAAATGTAATGATAGTGAGTTGTGTGTTTAAAAATGTCTATGTGATTTTGTCATTAGGGTAGGAATTTTGCAAAATTTATTGCAGTAAATTGGAACATATTGTTGAGTATATAAGTACACCATTCAGTTAATTGACTTAAATCTGGAAATATCAACTAAAAAATTCTACTCTAGTAGTTCTTCGGTCAAGTTATTGACATAGATTTTGTAAACTCCGAGTTCCACTATACTGGAGATCAAGAACAAATGATTCTCATCTTCGAAGTACCATAAAACAGTTGTTCGTTCCCTTCTAGTTATGTCACCTTAGCTTACTTTTTTTCACTAGAAATTTCTATTTTTTCAAAGGTTTATATGTAGCCGTTTTGCTGAGACATTTAACTAATAACTAATGAGTCGCACGTTTGAAACTTTTTCCTGGCTGACTAGTTAGTACTGTACGCCTACAGGCACTGCATTGACTTGAAGCTGGTAATATTGGCATGTACAAGGTTGCTCTGTCACATCCATTTTTATAACTTGAAGTATTCTATTCCTTCTTTGGTACAGTCTAAAGTTTCTGTATTGCATTGATATTGCTGGGATGAAAAACTTCCAAATTCTAGTGTTATCTTACATCCTAACCGTTTTCTGACTTAACTTCACAACTAAAGCTATTATTATACAAAATTATTTCATGCTCTGTCAATTTGTCTGTTCACAGTCAGATATTTTATATCTTTGGGAAGAGCGAATAACGGTCAAAACAATCATCATCTAGGTCTAGAACATCACCTTCAAGCAATTTATACCTCTGTGTAATGTGTGTGACAAAATTTCCGGGTGTACGACGTATTGTATGCAAACCGTGACATGTTAGACTTAAGTAAAGATCTATGTATTGTTCATTATAAATATTGATCAGAAATGATTGTATGTTCGAAGATCCATGATCAAAAATCGTGCTGCAAATTGTTATACTATTTCAGATTTTGATGTTTTAGAATTTTTAAAATCCAAGAAATAAGAGGTATTCGATGTACTCATTTTGGCATCTTCTGTTCCTTTGCCTTGTTCAGCACCAATCCAGCTGTCTATAACATTTATTATCTGGTTTATTGGTTACTGGAATTATTTAGTTGATCAATGTTGTTCGACGAAGACGAATAAGTCGAAAATTCAAAATGTTCAGAATTTTTTGAAGAATCGGGAATCTGACTTCCAAAAAATTGTTGTACAAGCATTCAGTCTTAATATGCAACAATTTAATAACTTGGATTCAAGTGAGAAAAATACCAACACATATAACTCGACTCTTTACAAAACTCCCAAATCTGAACCAACTAAACGACGTTCTCGTGCATTAAAAAAGATGGAATCTTCTCAATCACCAGAAACACCTATAAACTTGAAGCTGGAGAAAGAAGACGGATCCCCTGATTCAATATTGACTACCCTACGTTCTGGACGAAGATCGTCTCTTGGCAAAAATAAACTGGAATCGGAGGTAATTCATGATGTTATTACTGCCGCTTTGAACTTGAAGTATTGGCACACAATCAGAGATAATCGTATTGGTTTTGCAATGTGTAAGCATGTCAATTTTTATAAGGAAATTATATAGAGCTTAACAGGAATGGACTGAACGGAATTTGTTAGGAAAACAGTTTGACATAAAATAGAGATAAAAAAACTGGTGCTTTTAAAACGTTACAATCGATTTTGGAGAATGATACTTCCAGGCACTAATAACTGAGACCTCATGAAATCTAGCCAGGTTGCTGAGATCTCTGTTTAGTGTGTGTGAATTAGTATAGTTAGTTTAATTCTATTATCTCAATGTAAATTAGCAATCTAATGATTTTCTTTTATGTTGGGTGATGACTGTTTCAATTTATACTTATCACTAAATAGAAGCTTCGGAAACCGGTTACAGCCTCACCTGGACTACGTGCAAGTACTGGTGACTCACAAAACCTTTCAAATAGTCCTTCTATAAGACCTCGTCGTGGTCGCCTTTCACTGGGGAGAAATATCAATCCAGTCGAAAGAATTGTTACACCTACTAGACGCTCATGTAAGTGCTATTCACTTATATTACTATGAAGCGGTATGTACTTGGTCTCATTTATTACTCATACTTCTTGTTTCATTTATCTGTGTGAATGATTTACGTTTGCAGATAATTAGCGATGTTTAAAAATTTCTTGGTCTTCTCTAAGCTATGGTATTTAGTAATGCATGTTCCTCCAATAATTCGGTGATTTCATAAGACGGTTGTTTCTAATGAAGTCACTAAACCTGAGGAATAAATGTCCACGATAAAACGTAATAAATCGGAGAGCATCAAATAGCTATCACCATCATTGTGAACCATAAGTATATTATATTACCAGTAATTTCCGTTAGTTAAGTAGGTAGGTGAAACTGTATCGTAGTTTTCTTAAACAGTATTTTACTTGAGATGAATCGTTTTCCTTTGCACCAAGTTTTATAACGTGCAGATTTATTCATTGATTGATGACTGAAGCCTAACTAGTATCTTCTTATTTAGTCCTAAGTGCTGACCAAGTTATTACTTTCAGATTGGACTTTTAAAAATCGGGTTAAATATCACATAAAGTATTACGGATTGTTGGTAAGAAAAAAAGGCAAAAGTTAGTACAACATTTCTTAAAATACTTGAAGAATAACGAGGTATCCGAGGCTCCATACCAGTTGCTATGAATATGCAGTCAAACTTCATTTCCAGAGCCTAGTGTTAATCAGCGAAGATTTCAGAAGCCGAATGTGATCTTAATACGAATAGAAGGTTCACAGCTGAAATGTGTCTATGAAATCACTTTTAACTGAATGAAAGGGAATTCTCATCGATCTGCAGTAAAATTGAACAGATTTACATAGTCGTCAGGATTTACAGTTATGTGCTGTATATGACTGGTTGACGAAATCAACGTAGAACCTCGCACAGGAGTGCATCAGCTCAGGTTGCCACACTTCACAGAAGTACACAAACAACAGGTGAAAAGAAAAGCAGTGGTATCAAAATCGATAAAGTAGTGCGAGATAATAAACAATCTGAAGATAAGGGTTATTGTGAATATTCAAGCTTTAGAAGATGTCAATGAGTGAATACATCTTCACCATTGTGACGGGTTTTCAACCATATCACCAATAGTCCTCAACCACTGGTTCCTTTCGTCTCGGGTACCCTAACCAAGCAATCTAAATCTCCATACAAGGCTCAGATCAATAATAAGAGACTGGTGACACTTCTTGGTCACGCCACCCTCAACCCTCTTCCAATCTAATCCAACCTCCTTTAGTATATAGCATATCGGGGGATCAGCATACGCAGTACATGTCTAAGCCACTTCAGACGATAAAGGTTCACAGCCTCACCAATCGATTTGCCTACCTTGCGTAGTACCCTCCGCCTGACCTCAAAACTGCTCACGCGCTGATTCCACCATGCGCATGCGAACAATCCCTCGAAGACATCTATGATAAAAACCCTGTAATCGCTCCATATCTCCTACTTTTAACGGTCACGTCTTAGCCGTACAACAAGGCAGAATGAACTACAGCGCAACATTCACGTCCTTCAATAGATAGTGGAATGTCTTCCGTTGGCGCCAGACGTGACACAAGCTAGCAAATCCTAAACAGTCCTTCTTTATCGGAGGTGAGATTTCGTCAGCAACCAACCCGTTTGGGCTGAGGTAACTTTCAAGTAAGTAAAAAAAGTCGACACATTCAACCACTTCACTCCTTGTCATTAAACTGGGATTACTTGCAGCACACTAGTCCTGAAACATCATCCTACACTTGAAAGGCGTCGGCGGAGTGCGTGCCAAACATACTCAGATTTCTGCTCAATGTGTTCACAAAACCCTTCTTTTGTTTGCGTCTTCACCTAGGAGGATAATATTGTGTGCATACTCCAAGTCAACCAGACGACCTTCAAGGAGTAGGTCAATCCCTGGGAAGTAAGACGTTTTATGTTTATTGGTACGTTCATGATGAACCTAAATGGAAACGGTGACAGTAGGCATCCTTGGCGGACACCACTAGTTGTCCTCACTTCTGATGAAAACATTCCATAAATTCTGACACAGCTGCAGCTCTACGTGAGAATTATGCCACATTCAAATGGCTACACAATAATGAATCGTAGAACCCCGTTTGGGCCAACCCGAACTCAGTCAATAGTAACTAAGGTGAAATAATCAGGAACAACTTGAAAGTACTGATTACCTTTCCGGACCTATGATGAACAGGGAAAAAGTCATGTCTGTGTAAATTTTCCGCGGTGACTTTGCAGATCAACCATTGAATGTGCGAGTTTCGGAAACCGAATTCAGAATCTTGCGGAAATGTCGAATTTTCTGAAACGATGTGTATAACGATATTTAGTTTTTCGATCTTTCTAATTTGAATTCGGGGGAATAATCGTACTTCATAACGGTGGGAAGCAAGTCTAGTTATATAAAGGAAATGTGAATGTTTCACATGCCTGACCGGTAGGCTTGGACAGATTCTTTCAAGTAACCATTAAATGAAAACCTATTCTTTGAATGAGTTGTTTGGTTATTTCTGTATATTCAACGACGTTTTCACCTGGTATTCAGTTGCAGTTGAATGCGTCGTTTTAACCCAGACTATAGTGAATAACATCGTACTCTTATTATAAATAAGGGTATTAATAGAGGTATTGTGATACAGCTGGTATTGTCTGAGTTACCGAGATTGCCTGAATAATTTATTCTAACGGATTTCATTCAGATTTTTTATATCTTCTGCGTTAGTTCTGCATGAGTTCTTAGTTCTAAGTCCAACTTTTAGTTCATATGTCTTTTTCGAAAACATTACTATTTGTGGTTTCCGCGTTGAATATTTCTTCTAAATTATCATTATTGTCACTAACGTAGGGCCAGGGATTATTGCATAATGTTTGAAGTTGCTCCAGATCACATGAGCATATCAGTCAGGAAAGGACCAGTTTTATTCATGAGGAACTAAGCGTTAAATCGATTCACATACTCAAAAGGGATACTGAATCAGCCATAATTGTCAGACTAATGATATGAGTTCCATGTATGTTTTTTAGAATGACTTTTAATCGTTTCATCTGTTATTTTTCATTTTGTGCAAGATTAAAGCAAATTAACCTGAAAGTTTAGTAGATTCTGCATTTTCCTTGTTCCTATTATTGATATGAGTATTTTGAAATATATGTGATTTATATTAACATGGTCTCATCATACTGTATCATATCGGTTCATTTCAACCAAGTATGCTCTGTATGCCTTTTCGTCTTCTATGTAGTTGGACCAGTGGAAAATATTACCCAATCAGCTCCATCAAATTTCACAGCTAGACGTGGCCGTGGTAAAAAAGGTGTTAATCTTTTCCCTGTCTCCCCTAGGCCATCACCTGCCAGTGGTATCATTGCTGATGCCTTTGGAGTAGCACCAGGGTCAAGCCTGATAGAGGATAAAGGTAATCATAATTGGTCTCCGTCTATGCCATCTCCTGGCCCACTATCGAATCGTCCACTGGTCAAACGTCGCTTGTTTAGCGGGGTACAAGATTTACGAACGCCTGAAGATAATTCAAGCAATTCTTATCAGACATCATCATTACACCCAACAAGAAAACGTCATTTATCTGACTCTGAACATAATTCAGTCACTTCGCCGAAAACTGTGACCATTTCGACTGGTGTTGAAGACTCATGTGATGTAAGTCTAAGAAAATTTATGATTAATGTAGCATATTCTTCACTTGTGTTTTCAAGTTCCCTTAAAGCTTACAGAAGACAGTTGAATTCCTTTCCGAATTATCACCAGACTAGTATGCACTATCATATGGTTGCTAAGTTATTAACATTGACAAGTAGCTGTTCGTGAGATTAATGTTTTCAACAATTTGCCTTTAAAGACCTGATTATTTCGATAAATAATACAGCTTGTTATGATGTGTTGTGAAATCAGTGTACCAGAGATCATATTTGACATCTTACATTCTTCATCTACTTTTAATTGATCTACGGCTGACAACTTATATAAAGTTTAGAATTATTATTAGTCCCTTGGGTTCCTAGTGGAACATGGGGCTTCAGTAGCACGTCTCCAGTGAACTCTGTTCTCTGAAATCTTTTGAACCTGGCTCCACGACAGCCCAGAAGCTCTCATTTCCTCCTCGCACGATCTCCTCCATGTCGCCCTCGTCTCGAACGCCCAACTCGTCGCTTCCCATAGGGATTCCACTCGAGCAACTGGCCTGACGCGTGATGTCCCCAGTCGGCCTTCTCAGTGCATGCCCAATCCATCTCCACTTCCTTCCAGTGCATATTTGTTGTGTGATAGGTTCTTGGTAGGTTCGTTCCCAGAGTTCTTTGTTGCTTATTCTTTCTGGCCATCTGATCTTCAGTGGGGAGCGTAAGCAGTTGTTGATGAATGTCTGTAGTTTATTGGAAATCCCTTTCGTGACGTGCCAAGTCTCTGAACCATACAGAAGCATTGACTTGACTGGGTTGGTGTTGAAAATCCGTATCTTGTTCCGCATGCTGAGTGCAGAAGATCTCCACACTGGTTCCAGGCTAATGAACGCGTCTTGCTTTTCCGATTCTGACTTTGACATCCTCGTCTGTGCCTGTGCCGCCTGTAGTTGAAACAGTGCTTCCTAGATAAGTGAAGGAGGTTACTTCCTTTAAGTTTCTCCCGTTGATGGTGACTGGAGTTTGTTGTTGTTGTTGAAGTTGTTGGTTGGGTATCTTCATCACCTCTGTCTTCTCTATATTCACTTGAAGTCCTATCTTCACTGCCTCACCTTTTCTGTCAACTTGTTAGTTTTCGCCTGTAGATCTTCAAGTTTGTGTGACATGAGACACAAGTCATCGGCAAAATCCAAATCTTCTAGGTTCTTTTCCGCAGTCCAGCGTATCCCCCTCTTCTCACTCCTCACTGTTTGTTGCATGATCCAGTCCACTACAATCAGGAATATCATGGGTGATAGTAGGTAGCCTTATTTTACTCCTGTCTTCACTTCAGTGGCGTCACTGAGCTTCCCATTGTGAATTACTTGGCTGGCATGTGGCGTCTTCATGTAGTTGTTGAATGAGGTTGATAAAGGTTTGTGGTATTCCCTAGTGCTGAAGCAACTGCCAAATTACTTCTCGGTCGACGCTGTCAAAGGCCTTCTCAAAGTCGATGAAGTTGAGGTAGAGGATTGACTGCCATTCTATGATCTGTTCTATGATGATGCTTAGCGTTGCAATTTGGTCTGCACATGATTTGTACTTCCTGAAGCCAGCCTGTTCCGGTCGTAGTTTTGAATCCAGTGCATCCTTAAGCCTCTCCAGGATGATGCGGCTTAATATTTTGCTTGCATTGGGTGGACAGGAGAGTGATTCCGCGCTAGTTCTTGCAAGCACTGAGGTCTCCCTTCTTTGGCAGTTTGACAAGGTAACCCTTCTTCCAATCGCCAGGTAAAAGTTTAGAATGCTGTCGTATTTTTAAAAATTGCGCGTAAATGTTTTTTTTTTTTTAACTGTTTACACTGGTTAGTCATTTAAGTGTATTATTCATTAGCATTTCTAAGCCATGGTAACAATCGAGTTCTGCTATATGCATTTCAGTATGACCACTAAGGTGTGTGATTCAACACTACTGTTCAGTGTGAGTGTATGTAACATAGTGGTAACGTGTTTAATCGCAACAGGGAATGCTCGAGTTTTTGAAAAGGCTTAGATTTCTTGGAGTGTGTGAATACCCCTTACTGGTGAGCATCGATTGATACGAAATGTAGATCTAGGGTTGAAGGTTGATTGGAGTAGCCCACTTACGAAACGACTCAGCTGTTTACTCAGTAGGTTTTCAACCAAATGGATCGCGTGGTTTATGCATGTAGTATCGTTAACATAATACATGTGGGTCTTAGTTTATTTCACCAATATGCATATAGTCTTTGAAGTCCCATATCACATTATTTTCATCAATGCCTTGTATGCCTTTCTGTTTATAAAATGTTTATGATTGATCATACAAGTCTAATCCTTTATACGTTTTGTATTTTATTATTATTTTGTTTAGTTTGTTTTCATTCCACCTCAAACAGAAAGTGCCAAGAAACGTCGTCGGAGTCTAACTATCCACCAAAAGGAGCGTTTTAAGGAACAAAGGTGGGTTTGAATGGTGCCAAACATAAACGTATCTCTTTTACAAGAATCAATGGGTGTTTATCGATCGGTTGTTTATTCAGTGGTTCACACCAATTTTGGATCACTGTGAACAAGGCTAAACGAGTAGTAGTATCTCATTTGATACCTATGCATTGATGTGTTCAACCGACATTCATATTTTTTGTAGTCTCCTCTGCAAGATGAAACAGTGTTTAGATATTAATGGTCAGCGATAAAAATTATTTTGATGAATTGATACCTTTTCAAAAAGTCGAAACAAATTAAGAGGGAATTTGTTTCGTCTCCAATGAAAATACTTGGCTGCCCAGACCTCGGTAGGTGGGGCAGCACTCGAACCCATGACCCATTGGTTGAAAGTCATCTTAAACCGATAAGCCACAGCTCCACCAATATTAGATATTCATCTACACTGGATACGTAAATATTCACATGTGAATCTCACTTTCCCTTTCTTTTTTGGTTTCACATTCATTTATATTACATAAATATATGTTCCACTTCAAGTTTCATTGTTGAAACTTTTTTTGATTGAGGATTGTAGCGAAATACCTACCAAGTAACTTCGCACATGACACTGGGTGATGATCGTGCTGCATCATGAGTTCACATGAGTTGGTAGGCACGAACTACTGAATGTCAACCCACTGACTGACTGGCGAACTGAATAGCTCTGGGTTCGCTTCACACTGTTGTATTTCCAAACGATGATGAAACAAATAATCAGCACTCTGGTTTTACCTCTTTCTGTAGTTGATGTCCATATGTGATGAATACTTTGAAGTGATTTTGTCACTTAATAAAAAAGGTATTCTACTCGTATGAAGTGTCTTTCTATCTGTTTACTGTCTAATCTTCACTGTTCTTTTCTTCATTCTCCTCTTAGGCGATAGGATTCAAAGTCATAAGTTAGTTGACACAATTTCATTTCCAGTCTCATTTAAAAAATGGGATGTACATTTTCAGAGAAAAGTGAAATTATAAGTAAAATTACTGCGATTCTCGAAATCTTTATTTCTGTATATTGTTTGTTAAAGATTTATAACTTTATTCATCTAAAAGGTATTCTCAAACTGTTTACGTTTATTTGCTTTCCAATACCCTTTTACAGAAGTGAATATGTGCCTGTCACATACACGGAATTGGACATTAGTCAACAGTCATGGCCATCTTTGTGTGGTAGCGACTCACAATCTCAGTCTCTACCTGAATTCAGTCCGCAGTCGTCGGAGAACACAAAGTGTTTAGAAGTCTCTGAAACACCTGAATTTCTCGATTGTCAAATGGTAGAAGCAAATAACGTAACAAATATACTGACCAGTGAAGATGAGATTGAAAACAGTGGTATAAAGGATTACACGTGTCAGGTTTGTGATAAATCTGAACTTACACCTATCAAGTAAGCGAGATGTTTGCTTTATTGTAATAAAGTAAAGCATAATTGGAATCTTAGATATCCTAGTAATACTGTTACACTCTGAGTTGAGTTTTAATTGACAAGGTTTTCAATAGTTCTGTCTCACAAAGGCTTCCTCTTGTACATCTGAGGCATTTACAACTCGGGTTACGTATATTTATCGCTGCATCAAATATAAGTATTTCAATACTATACTCTTGTTGACTGCATATTTCAAATGTAATTCTGTAGGTATACAGGTGCGGAGTAGTGACTCATTGACCTAAGCACTTGACTTTCAAGCTGTCTTCCTCTGGTTCGAACCCCACTTCTCTTTGTAAAATCTATGTTACCGGGTAGTGTTATAGGCCCTCGCATAACGTGTGGCTCATCGCCTACTATTTAAAACGTGTACGGAATTGAGGTGTATTACTTTTATGATTGATTTACGTATATAAGTATATTAATACAGGCGTATCGAGAATTCAAAAAGTTATTTGATATGCACCCCAAACCTTTGCTCTTTATGAATAAAGCCATTAATTTTTGTGATATTTATTTTTGGTGTCCTGGTCTTACTTATCTATATCTTATCGTCGTTTTTCCGTTCACTCTAATGCTTTGATAACTAGGGAAATGTAGGACCCAATGAACTAGTTTAAGATGCTGCACTTCTGAACACCAGACAAAGGAAAATATTTCGAAAAAGACAACGAGATAAATAAGTACGATATATTGTGGGAATGACTTTGTTTAAGAGATGAAGTAAAAAACACTCACCACTGTTACTAATTTTGATCCCATTCACTTGTCTGTTCGTTGTATTTCACTCATATGTGGAGCTGTAGCTCATTGGTTTAGGGAGATGACTTCCAACCAATCGATCGTGGTTCCAGCCCTGCTTCACCTACCAAGTTTTAGCCAACCACTTAGCATCATTAGCCCTGACACAATATGCATGGCTCATTGCCTACTGCACGAACGTGCGCACGGTTGATGAGTACATTTCAGTTCAGTTTTTTCACTTCATTCTTATGGTATTTCTCAGATAATAGTCTTGAAGATCTTCGTCTGTTATTAGTTCATCACGCTCAACTCTAGCTTCTGTCCATCCTCTCTGTTCTACTCAAAAACAGAGGTGACCTATACATTAGCCAATATCAGTAGTTCCTAACCACTTATTTCGATCTGTGGCTCAGATCAGCTCATCCACAAAATAGGCGCAACCACCATTCAGCACCTCGGTTACATCTATCTGAAAAGTGAAGAGCAACCATTACTGAGAGCAATTCACACTTTTATATGTCAATCATAGTAGTGTACATCGTGTATCATTATTATTATTAGTCCCTTGGGTTCCTAGTGGAACATGGGGCTTCAGTAGCACGTCTCCAGTGAACTCTGTTCTCTGAAATCTTTTGAACCTGGCTCCACGACAGCCCAGAAGCTCTCATTTCCTCCTCGCACGATCTCCTCCATGTCGCCCTCGTCTCGAACGCCCAACTCGTCGCTTCCCATAGGGATTCCACTCGAGCAACTGGCCTGACGCGTGATGTCCCCAGTCGGCCTTCTCAGTGCATGCCCAATCCATCTCCACTTCCTTCCAGTGCATATTTGTTGTGTGATAGGTTCTTGGTAGGTTCGTTCCCAGAGTTCTTTGTTGCTTATTCTTTCTGGCCATCTGATCTTCAGTGGGGAGCGTAAGCAGTTGTTGATGAATGTCTGTAGTTTATTGGAAATCCCTTTCGTGACGTGCCAAGTCTCTGAGCCATACAGAAGCACTGACTTGACGTACATCGTGTATCGACACCGTATTTTCGCTAGCGCTTTTTTATGCATATTTCTCTTATATGTTGAAACCAAAATAATTGTTGCTTGACCTTAAAGTTTAAAAATAAGATTTTCTTTTTCTTTCATCATGTGGAAAAATAATAGCAGTATGTTTTAAAAAGTAACGGTGAAGACATCTGAAAAATTGATAAACAGCTAATCAGTAGATCAATAAAATTTGCACTTTTCTGTTCACTTTATCACAATTATTTTTAGTTTACCTCACTTTTGATAAATTTAAATATTAGTTCACCGACTTGTGGGTTAGTCCTACCAACCTTTATGTAATAAATCATATTTTCGAGTGATTACTACGCGTCTAGGCTGTTGATTTTGTGCTTATGCTAGGATAGAGTGTGCATGATCTACAAATTGAACGTAACTTCGTAACTAGGGTTTTTTACATTGACAATTTTATCAAGGAATTTGTTTCGCAAAATAAATCATGAACACTATTATAATCAAAGACACAGACAAAACAACGTGAAACCTTCACTTCACTTCAGCATGCAAAAATAAATCCTGATAGAAAATGGATGACATTAAAGCTACCAAAAAGTGTTTGAGATTTTTGAAATTGCAACCTTTGTTAATATACATGTTTTAGGTAACCTAGACACTTCGGTGCTATGTAGTTATGTTAGTTGGGTGCAGGCAAGAGGCCTTTGACGTAGGTTTTGTGCTTGTCAGCAAGGCGTATCTGTAACCTTTATGTCCCCTGTGAGGTTCCAATTCACATCACCTAGTATTCCAGTTGGAGACGTTACCACTGAGCTATTTGCGCCGCAACCGACCTACCGTAGGACTGGATTACATGTGTTGATTGATCACTGAAGAGCAACCAATCTCATGTTGTCTAGTCTTGACCGAACTCTATTAGTCAGTGGCCACCAAGCAGTTTCCAACCAACTAACATCCATCGAAGTGCACCGCGATGATTTCGTTCCCTGGCTTGGTAGCCACATTACAAAATGACCGATGGAATTAGATACAACTCAGGACTAAACAACATGTGATTGGTTGCTCTCCAGTGATCATTCAATCTACGTGGATATATTTAGCAGCTAGTTCTTGTAGAGTATCTTCACAATATAACCGAAAGCACTGGTTAAAATTGGTTCAATACGTTCAATGCCGGTTACTGTACTTTTTGTTTCGCTAACCAAATATAAAGGCGAAAATTTCATGCTCAGTGCAGTTCATTGTATTTGGTCTTATATCGTTATCATGTTAGTGGATGAACTTGAGATAAGTGCTATTAAATTTATGTTATCATATTATAATGCAGCACTTGATTGATCAAAATACTGTTCGAATGATAGTCAATGGGTTGGTTGAGTGATAAGAGATTAAAAAACGAAAATTCTTAACTAATTTTACTCGACTTTTGATTATCTGACTGACAAAATCACAGAAGTACACAAAGAACAAGTGAAAAGAAAAGCAGTGGTATCAAAATCGATAAAGTAATGCGAGATAATAAACAATCTGAATATAGGGGTTATTGTGAATATTCAAGCCTTAGAAGATATCAATGAGTGAATACATCTTCACCATTGTGATGGGTTCCCAACCTTATCACCAATAGTCATCAACCACTGATATCCTCCGTCTCAAATGCCCCAACGAAGCAGTCTGCATCGCCTCACATTACTCAGACGAACATTAATGTGAGTAGTGATCAAAGAGACTGTCAAACCAGATGCCGACTTGTTATCGTATATGATTCCATTTAGTTGAACAATACTATGTTTGATAATCACAGGATGAAACCAAAAATATAAAAACCTATACTGTATCAAATAATCACCTACATGTAACGAAAAAAATAAAAGTGGAAGCCACTTGACAGACAATGAATGCAAGACGTTTTCCGCCCCCTGTGACAAGTCAATGGAATCAATCCATTTAGTCATAGTACCATCCTTCCCAACTAATTTGCGTTTTGTTGCTGTTTAATGTATTATTCGTATTTCAGTATTAGACTGTAGACAATTCTGTAATTATATTGGCAAACACTTACTATAGAGTCTATATGATATACATATTGAGTGGGTTTTTTTTACATTAATTCGATTCATGGCATGGATGTTTCCATTTCAAATTGATCAACTTATAATCTCAACCAAGCGAACTATGAATTGTTCTCGTTTTCGGCGATATCATTCTATGCAGCTGTACAATCGCCTTTAACTATTGTTAACCCGCATAAAAATGTCAATACTTATCATCCAATAATTCCTAGCATAAGAAATATGAAAGTATTTGACGAAGTGAGTAATTGTGAGTTGAAATCAAGGGATAATGAATTTGTAACAAAGTGAATAGACAGACAGTTGTCAGTTACCGAGGGAATGAAAAAATTTGTAACTGAGCTTGATGAAAATTGTCTGCGTAACAACAATAAGAAAATTAGAAGATTAGCTAGACTTAAGAACTGTAAAGTTTAAGAATTAAGAAGGGAATGAGGACAGGAAATACACAACGCCGGTTTCAATTGTTGTATTACCAAAGATTCAGCAATGCAAAGTAAACGTTTCCCCACACTTTTTGGAAGATTACGTTGTACTCTATAGACTCGTGCAAAAAGTCTTCTGGAACTCTCCGCTCCCAACCAAATATTTTTATATGGCGCTACTTCCCACTTCTTTCTGAGATAACTGATATCCTCAGGAGAATGTACTATTAGTAAGTGATGTATTATCTGCTCAATATTCAACATCTTGATTCGTGAATTTCTCCTAAAAATGTTATATTGAGGGTCTCAGGAAAAAGAATCTACATGTAATTCCATTTTTACTTCAGATAATTAGTTTAAATAATAGAAATAATGATAGGAATTCGGTGCTTGAAAACTGTAATTTCTCAAAAATATCTTTTTCTAATATTGTACTTTTTTTCTTTGAAAAAAAAATAAACTCAGAGTTGTTTTATCTCCCCTGATCAGTGACCCAGTTTGTTCGAAAGATTGTGTAAGTTTTTGTTAACCTGATTTTTATTATTGTAAAATTGTCTATGCATTTTATTGTGTCTAAGACTTTCTCAGAGGATAAACATTTATGGATTGAACATTTACGTTATGAGTTAGCTATTTTTTATAATTGAGGATCACAACTCAATGAATTTGAGTGCCTTTCCATGAAAACTTACTTCACACTTCTCAAGTAAACTTACCCTAAATAAGAGGATACATACATATATATTGAATGGTTACTTCTCTCATCTAAAATTTTGATTCGCCAGAGTCCTTCCAGTTTTTTAAGCTCCAGAAGTTTGAATATAGTGCAGTGTGAGGTTACCTAGTCAGATTAATTAAAAATACATGGTATACGGATCGCGTTAACACTAACGTAGTGTAAATCTCACTATGAGGTACTTGATGTTTGCACATCTTTATCAAGGGCTCAACTGGTTGCCAGATCCTAATTTTGCATCAATCACCAAGGGCTTTTCTCGAGTTGTTAATGTGAATATTTGGTACGTAGCTGTGCATCCATTGTCATCACACTACATACTCAGCTAAGTTTTCTCATCCCAGTCTAAGTGAAGCTTGTCACCTAGCTAGGTCTGGTGGCTCAGTCGGTAGAGCACCACTTTAGCCGAGGTCATGTTTTGCAGGTGTAGAGCAAAGCTTCTCGTACCGATGCGTTTCATACGCGGCCAATGACAACAACGTTCACATCACGACGATGTCAAAGGCAGTCGAAATTGGGTTTATGCTGTTTTGGCTTTTAATATACGGTTGGAAATCTTATCAATCACACCTCTATCAGCACTCACATAACTCCTCAGGTATAAAAGTTGTCGACAGCTTTCAGTGGTTCATCATCGAGGGTGTGCAGGCAAACACTGCCAATCTTATGGATACACCTTGAACGTCGATGATGCAGAGCATACCGTACTCATAGAATCTGATCGCAGACCGATTGAGTTTGATTTGAGTAGCTTGTATGTTATCACACCGTCAAACGATGTCATCCGCATTCTCGAGGTTGAAAAGTCCTTCATCTCGTATCAAGTATACACTGCCACCATGCACTTTCTTCATAGCTGTCTCTCGAATGCCAGATAGCACAACGCTGATTGCTTTGCTGGAAGTTAGTGCTGACTAGAAACAAGTTGTGATTTACATATAACTACAGAAGACGTTCTCCATTATTAGACCTGCAACTGACTAAAACCCATTGGTCACCTAAATGACCTTTCTCTGAACCTAGACGTCCCGCCTGTGCATTGAAGTCCTCACCTAACACTACAACATATGTCGACAACATCTGGTAGAAGTTACTCAGTTGGTGGTAGAATTCACCCTCAACTGCATCCCAGTCATTTGGCAGAGATGACAAAGAGAAGCTGTACCCCTTGCCATTTAATTCCCAATGCAGTCGAACCCCGTAGCTTAACAGTACATGGACGATAGTTAATAAGGATTCAATCGACTAGTACAGCTTTGGCTATGGTACTTAGTGCGATATCAAAACTGGCTGTTGACCCCACAGGGTTGCCGAATAAAAGCACCGTGAATACATCTCCTGAGGTGACAGATATGGACGTTATTTGAAGCGCTTCACCGGGTTCCTGTATGTGGGTCACTAACATACGGTAAACATGAGTAACAAGGTTTTTCAGAGTCAAGTCTTTCTGTTGATTAATCAGTATCAAGTTCTGAACTTTGGAAGTGGCCAGCTTAAGTGGTGCGCACGATTTCAGAATAGTATTATCAGATATCCCACTGAAGGTCAGCTTTATGGAAGCAAGCATTTATAGGCTTAGGACTTTGCGGAGCTGCCAGTAACCAAGATACGTTCATACTCCATTCTGAATGGTGTAGGGTTCATGCACACCACTGGTTTGGAATAACAGTTTTCCACTCCCTCTATGTATACACTATTCCGGTTATAGCATCGAAGGTTCTCTTTCACCCTCACTGTTTTTGAAACAGCCTTCGCCATGGGAAGGCAGTGAGTGGGGCTTACCTGGTATAGGCTCTTGATGCAAGGCATATGGAAGCATTTTGAGATGTCTGGGATCATTCTATCCTCGTTCATGCCAGGTTCTTTGGGGTCTGTTGTTAGTTAGATCACACTTTATAGTCTGAATTTTCTCGAAAGTGACTACAAGTTAATTTCTGTCTCTTAACTTTCCTTTTAGTCGGAAGTCTACCACCTAATATATTTCTCGTATCATTTTCATTTGCTCAAGTCTTGGGTGACGAGGGTAACAATAAATGGTACTTGATGAACCATCACTTTTGGTTGTTATCTTATAACCTGTATTTACAAGTTACTCCTAATCTCATTTCTATCTCATAGGATTCGAAAGATATTCTGGAAATGATACATGATACAGAAATAACTAATAATGAATGTGAATCAGTAAATTTGGATGAGGAGGTTCCTTCAAAGTTGAAAACATTAGGTAATGAATGTATGTTTTTAGTTAAATAGTCCGCTTATTTCCAAATCTCAATAACAGTTCCTTTGTTTTGACGTACAAGTAGTAGGAAACTCTCATTTCTGTTCTGATTCAAACTGATTTAGATTCAGAAAGCATTGACATTAACTCGCAATAAAGTAATTATCTCAGTGATTCCCACTTCTTTAGAATGCGCTTCAATTGATAAAACTTGTATTTTTGCAGATTGCTAATTATCATGTTTATATTTTTCATTCTACTTATTTGAATAGAATCAATCACTATGGGGCAGGTGTAAACAGTGTTGACCACCTTGTAAATTTCGAAAATTATCTAAACCTGTACTTATTTACTCTTCCTCACCTTATGACCTTTTCTACTGTCTTAATATTAAATTATTTTGGTTCACTTTCTCTTTGAAAACTGCCAAAAAGTATGGTGATCTAAACTAATACACTTTTGCATTTGGTTTTCCATCTACATGAGATGAAGTGACGAAGTTTTCAACTTGTTCTCTTGCATCCAATCCATTCAACTGTAATACATTGCAGTTTTAGGTCTTATATGGAAGTCTTTCCTTAACTATATACTTTCCTATTCTTTATTTGACCTCCTGTTGTGTTATTTCAAAGTCTGTCAACTTGCGAGAAATCAGTCTGTGTCAAGGTTTTCGTCATTTTAATAAGACAATTTTTTTTCCAAGTTACGTACCGATTTGAAAATATTGAAGCGTTCCGGTTTTTGAAACTCGTCCATTATCATTTTATGTATCATTTTATCATTTTATGTATGTAATAATCTGTAGTTCTGTTAATTGGATTATCCCACTATTTTACACCATCAGATTTATCCTGTGAAACTGGTTCGAATGGAATGAGTAACTTACCTGATAATAACAAATATGATGATAACAATGACGTGTTGATTGTTGAGACACACAATTCCACTTTCGTATCTCTCCCAAGTGGTAGTAACAATAATAATGTACCTTCGGTCGCTATATCGAAACCGTCTTCTAAAGATGAGGATCATGAAAGGATGTCTCCTGTCACTTCTCTGTCTGTCCCGCCAATTTTGAATTCACGTCCGAATAGTCATACTTTATCTAGTCCGTTAATACGAGGTTAGTATTACGTTTTCAATATTAGCCCATTTTCTGTTAATGTTTTTTTAGTACTAACAGGTACATTTTATATCAACTGAGAATTCACTTTATTGATCACAAATACCGAGAGATGCTCTAAAGTATCTTCATTTAATAATCTAACATCATTTGTGTGATAATTGAAATACCGCTTCGTCATGTAGATCGATGTACATTATCACTTCGTAGCCCTCAACTTGAATTCTCACTCATGATGTAAAGAAATACAGTAGCTGACGGTGGAAAAAATTGGGTTGATGTGACATTTCATCCTGGAGCCCATGCGCACCTTTAGTTTGAGTCGAAGTTTTCGAACTGTCGTATGTTGAACTTCCATACTCAGCAACCTGATAGAGAGCAATGGTCGTTCAGATTTTTTTCAAAATTGCAGAGAATTATAATAACTGAGATATGTGTTTACTATTATTCTGTTCATTTATATTTTTGATCCTTTTCGTGGATAGCATTCCATTTTTAATGCTAGTAAAAACATTCTCTAAACAAAAGCTTACTTTTTATTTTTAGGATCTAGCCGAGCTCAGAAGATGCTTGCATTAGGTCTACAAAAAGCTGCAGAGCAAACTGCACGTCAGAAATCATCTTCTGGAGAGCAAAATGTTAGTAATGTGAGCGGTATTTTATCTGCAGACAATAGTCCGGTACTGACAGAACGAAAATCCTTTTCAAACGTTTTTGTTTCCCCATCTCGCTTACCTTTCAGTTCTTCGGCTACGGATTCGCCATCTGGTAAAGTTTTTCTTTTGAAAGCTTCATTGAAGAGCTTGTTTTTGTTATTTAACCTTCATTCGTTTATTATATGATGGTCTTTTGCTTCCAGTAGAGAAGAAATTAAAACTCTATATTTTAACCATTATGCGATTGATGATATCTTCTTAGGTCAAAACCATGTTCACGTCAATCATCATCAGTATCAACGTAGGATCAAGGATTGTTGCGTAACCGGTCAAGTTACCACACCTCATATCAACACATCAAGTAACAAGGCTATAAAATGAAAGATGGAGAAATGCAAAAGAATCGGTGAAAACCAGTAGAAAACGGTAAAAGAGAGGGAGAAGGAATGAGAATGTACTGAGTTCAGCATAACGATTCAGATTAAGGCAACATGTGGACATATCTGCGCCACCGATATCGATTTTACTGCTACGTGGACTCCAACCGGCTAGTCTACATCTCCCTACTTGGGTCAGACCAAGACTTTATGCAGTGATGCCATTTTTTCAGTCTGACCGACCCTGACCTCTTCCCAGCCTGAACCTACTTCAGCTAACATTATGCAACGAAGCAGACTGTGACTAGGAATGCATAACACATGTCCCAGCCATCTCAGTCGATAAAGGTTTATAACGGCACCAACCAACTTTCCTTTTCCTACCTAGAACTTTGCACCTGACTTCTACGCTACTTACATGGTGATATCAGGACACTCGACCTGGGCTACGAAGACAACGATGATGGAACACCTAAAGCCTTCTGATGTCTGCGTTTAATGTCTGTTTCACAGCCATACTGTAGAACAGAGTGAACTGTAGGATAGTGCACTCGACCCTTAATAGGCAGTTGGATATCACGGCGGCGCCAAAGATGGCGTAAGCTGGTGACAGCCAACGAGCATTTTGTATTCTTGTAGAAATTTCATCGACTACTGAGTCACCAGGACTGATCTGACTTCCAGGTAAGTGAGTTGTTCAACACACAACCCTTTGACTGCCTATTGTTAACCGGGGCACCACTGAAGACCGGTCCTGGGGCAACAAACTGCATTTGGGTGACGAGAAAGGTATCCCAAACATTCTCAAATTACCATTCAGTGTGTCCAGAAGACTGTATCTTGTCAGGGTCTTCACCTAACAGGATTTGTGATCTGCATATTCTAAATTTACCTGTGATTCTGTTGTGGTCAGACGACGAGAGAGAGACCTCCATAACAACGTTTATGATAAAATTGAGTAGGAATGGGGCGAGCTGACGTCCTTGACGGATATGACTCGATATACATAGGTCACCTGACAACTCAGCATAAACTTTAACACACCCACGGGTGTTTGAGCAGTAAAGAGCCTTAGGTAGAGTGACGTACTTACTCGGTATCCTTTTCAGTGAAAGATATTCCCATAAGACCTCTCGATCGATGGAGTTGAGTGTCGCATTTGGGTCGAGAAATACAGCGAGTGTTGGACGTCGGTGAGTGTGTGTATTCCAGGACCTGGTGGGGTGCGAATGTCCAGTCAATACAACGACGACCAGGTTTGAAGCCTATCTGTTTTCCTCGTGTTTGCCGTTACTAAGTTTCACTCAGATGTCTGCTGACTATAAAACGTAGAATCTTAGACGCTATGTTTTTCAGGCTGATTCCCAGGTGGTTATCAGGGAGGATTTCTCATCTTTCTTGATGACTGGGACAATCAGTGACTGATTCTGACGAGAGAGGATAATATTTGGCTCTCACACACCAGTTAGCAGTTCAGTTAACTTGACTAAAAGTCTTCTACCATCATACTACCATACCTCTGCAACTAGTCCATCTGGTCATGTTGCACTTCGTGGTTTTAGGTTGACTACTGTTTTTGTCGACTTCTGCAAGTTTTGGGGGTTCTATTTTGAGGTTTCATTCAGGCTGTGATTGGATAGCGGGTGACGAGATAGTAGCTGGAGGCCAGTTGAACTATTTCTGGAAGTGTTCCAAAATCGTTCCAGTTGCCTCCCCTCTGAGTGGACCACAAACCCATCCTTGTCTGCTATGGTCTCACCAACCATTGACTTTTTCGCCCCAGTTTCCCCAATGTGTCTGGTGTTACCTATTTCTGATGCTTTTTCTATTTGTTTAGCCTTGATTGCCCATCACTGTTCGTCTTCATTGTGTAGAATTTTTGTCAGTCTACATTTGAGTTGTATTCGCTCCTCTTTGTACACGGGGCCTGCAGGGTTGCATTTGCGTGCCAGTCATTTATATCATAACTTACTGATGAGTTTAGAAGTATGGAAATTTTTTTATCAAATTTCAAACAAACAAAGTTCACTGTTTAGAAGTTCAAGCGATAAGAAATCATTTTTAAACAAGATTATTCATGTCATGTACACCACTGAATGAGCTAGATTTGATCTATGCAAATTAAAAAATATATCTGCAGTACCATTACTTCGGTACATCACCAAGATATGTGAAGTTTTGACCTAACCAGTCCACTTATAAGAAATTGACTATGACCTCAAATTTTCCTCTCCGTTGTTCGATCTGGTACATGGTCGTATCATAAGCGCTCGTGCAGTATATAAGGCTCATAGCCTTGTAGATAAACCTGTACAAGTTGGGTGAGGACCATTAATCGCACTAACCACAACATTATAACAGAATACCTGAAGGTTGTATTTAAAAGTAATTTGATCAACTAACTATTTAATTGATTGACAGACGCACATTCTTTGGCTTCATATTTTTGTTAAAGCCAACTCTACGTAGGATTGGAATACACTTTCAAGTTTAGATCTCTGAATTATTTATTCATAAACTTATTTATGCAGTCACTGTCATTCTTGATTATAAGTGTGCTCAACTTACTGGCTCTTCTGTTTATTAGTTTTTAGTGGTAATTATTGTATTGTAATGTTTTTTTATTGAGTTTTTTCTCCTTTTTAATGATATTAAAGGTATTATGCGAAATTTATGGTCAAAGAAAAAGTCTCAACGTGTATCATTCGCTGAACAACCTATGATTTATACGATTGGCTCACTAAATGCATTTGAACTCGAATCAGACGAAGATAATGTTTATCAGAACTGTTCAAGTTTAAACAGCAGGAAAGTTCTGCATGATCTTACAGACAATACGTGCGATTTCGATGATTTGAGTGATAATGATGTTGAATCGAAAACCCATAAAGAATCAAGTGAATCAAATCAGGTGGATGAAAAAAGTAGCCAAAACGACACAGATTTATCTGTTACTTCAAAAGAGCCATCTAACGCAATCCTAATTTCCACTTCCATATCAGTAGATACCTATGTGGATTTAGATGCTTCTCAAGATTCTTCTCAGTCTATGTGAGTCTACATATTCTGCTTATGGTTGACTTACTATCGATACCCATTTGTAGTCTAATGGTGTAGACAATCAACATTTGATCAATCTATCGTTTTAATAGGATTATAAGTATCCAGACTATACTTGATAAGCTACTCTTCAATTCCAGTGTTCTTTACTGTTGTATAACTAAGTGAAAATATAAATGTCTACCACCGATAGTTGCTATAATACACCTTTAGGTTATAATTAGTACGAATACTGTATCGTTAAACATGATTTTAATTTCCATCGTGACTACAGTGATCAATCATCATCGAACATCTTACTGAATGAAAAGACCGTTATGTAGCTTTTTGTTTCTCTGTTTCAGTTTCCTAGATTTCTTACATATCACCCAATGCTTGTCTTGTCAATTACCCCAAAGCACGTCTTGTTTCTGAATTTAGATTATCGGAAACTGTGAAATCGGATGACCAAACTACTCCTGTGATACTGCCACATGGTAGTTGTTCAAATCATCGTCGTAAATCAGCTTCTCCTCAGAGGCGAGAAATTCCAATAAAACGAAATTTTTCCCGACCGAAGTGTGAAAAATCGGATCAGTCACGAAAGCTTCCAAGACGTAGGCCATTATTCATGGAACCTCTACCAACAACAGTTATTTCAGATAATACAGAGACGAATACTACCACATTGTCTCAAACAAATGAGCAATACACTGTGTTTGTAATTGACAGTGAATCTACGATGATAGCAGACACTCAGCCAGATGAAAATGACACTAAAACCGATTCTGTTGATAACCCTACAACTGTCATTGAACAGACCCAGTTGGATGAAGAGGAAGATGAATGCGTTGTAATCGAGGGTAGCCAAGGTAGCAGTCAGGTGCAGAATGGTGAAGATCAATCTGTGTGTTCATCTGGTAGTCAAATTGATCAACTTAACTTTTCACCCATTCCTGTACTGTCTAACTCAGAAATGAGTGTTGACATCCAAAAGGTTAGTTTTTTCTGTGATTTCTCCATCGCTCATGACCAAGTTTAGCTAATAGATGTGTTATATATATATTAAACGATTGTCCCATATGTGCAACGCATCGATATCGGTGATTGAATTTATCAATAAAGCTACACTAATAGATCCTCTGACTTTACATTATTCACGGAATCTGTTGTGACTCAGTTTATTTCAGGTATGAAACATAACATAATATAGGCATGTTAAGACTATTTTTCTTTCATATCAGAGTCTCCTAGTAGCTTCATACTGATAGCCCGTAGGAGTACGTGTTATCATATTCACTTTAGCCTAAATTGAGAGAATATGTAGTCAAAAAACTTACCAGGAATACATTTCGCCTTTTTGGAAGCCAGATTATTAGTCTGCACTACGCAGTTCATGGAGTCCTGTTAAATGAGAATGTGAAGAATTATTTATGTATATGCATGTATAGATTGCAAAATCTATTATAACCCTTACGTATCTGACTTTATTACTTCAGTAAGAATGTAATACTTTATTTTGTTGACAGCTACAATGAAATCTTCACTTCTTATTCAGAGAATTAATTTTTACTCCTGTTTATCACAAAGGTAAATAACTGATGCTTTACAGAAATTAATTCAATAATTAAAGGTCTACTGAAATCATTTGCTTATACTAGTCACTAAGTGTCAATAATGTGACAGGTGTTTTTTTTGTTTTATAATCAGGGTATTTCAAGTTCACAAACAATTGTTGATGTACTGCATACCAATCCTGACAATACCAATAACAATCAAAGCAAAATTATTTCCGTCATCAGTAATGAATCTAGTGATACTAGTAGTCAACAGAATATGCTATCCATATCAATTGCTAATGAAGGGGATGATGATGAGGATGATAATGTAAGCGCTGACAATAAAGAGAATCAACCTGAATCAACAATGATTGCAACACAAGAGGATGTAGAAAGAGATATTTTAGATAAATTGTCACAGATCGCAAACAGCCTGCCTATTTTACGTCCAGAACAACGACATTCAATACTTTTAGAAGCTTTAAGTACATTTAAGACAATTATGCCTTAAGAAATTTGGAAATTTTGTTATGAAAGAAAATGCTAGAGGAAGATTAAATTTTTTTTGGTGCTTTAAATTTATTATTTGTTCTTCACTGTTGTTATTATTATGTAGAAACACTAGTGTTAGAATCGCTTTTAGTTATGCCACTATATTTTCTAAGTTGGGATAGAAAATCAGAACTTTGTAAGATCTCATATATAAGTGATTCTTATTTTCCATTTTGTTCCTTTATTTCAAACTACTCTTCATAAGATAGTTGCTTACTCTTTCCTATATCCTATCCTATATGTTATTCATAGAGCTTTTTATTCTTCTCAGACTATTTCGAATGGATTTCTATTTCAAGTAACTTTGCAGAAGTGGATTTTCATTCACAACTTCCTTGTGTTTTTCAAGCCAACAGAGTGGTTTTAGTTTGTTTAAAAATATTTACATGAAGTTATTCTATGCTCATATTGAAATACAACTGCATTCCCATAGGAAATTTTGCCAGAGTTTTTTTCTTCAGTTTTACTTTGCTAAACTAAATTTATTGTGATTGTTCACAGTTGTTTAGCTAATCATAGACTTAAGTGGTGATAGAAGTATAAGGTTGATTGATTCTTGACTGCTGCACTCCATAGATGGAAAAAGAGAAGGAAGGTGGCTTAGTAAGGGCTTTCTTATCAACTTGGGTAAGTACCTGTGGAGGTTGATCACAAAGCACTTATGATTGTTTTTTGGTTTACACCTAATTGCTGCTTGTCCGTAATTTAAAAAATTCTTGCCGCCAGCAGGGAAAATTCGTGTGGTGAAGGTGAAATATGCTATTTTTAGGGTTAACCTCATGTGATCCTCTCTTCTGATCAATAACAGTCGACATCGGCTGGAAATGTTGGTTCTCCTCGCTAAGAACGTACTACTATCACATCTTGTACAACCAGGACTATGGCTTTGCCATCGCACATCATTATTTTGTAGCATTTGATTGCCAAACCATGAAGTTTAAATTTACTATCTTAGTCTCATCGTTCTGCAGCTTAATTTCTTGGTATTGTAAGACATTAAAGAAACAACCGTACCAGTCAATGTTTAAACATAACCACCACATCAAGGAATGTTAATGTTGTGCAATACTGCCCTGACTATTCACATGGGATATATTTATATTTGTGTAGAGCTTTTAACGTGTTAATACACTTTTCAGAAACATGTTATCTCTAGTAGACGATATTATCACGCAGTCGTCCAACAAACCGAGGAAAGTCCTGTGGTTAAAAGAGTGAGGCTGCGTCTCTTCGGTCTATGGACTTGACTTCTGGCCGATGGGTTTGAACCCTATTCCACTTACCTAGGTCTTGGAATGTAAGTAGTATAAATAGCCCTAACACAATAGATGTAACTAATTGCCTACTGCATGAACTTGCATGTGGTTGGTGGGGCGGCTTCGATCCAACTTTTGTTGTCAAGATACACAATGATTGTCTACCTGAAATAAATGATGAAGAGTGGACACGTAGTCAATGTAGACATAAACTAAACTAAATTTACCTTGCTCGTCGCGATCCAGTGATTCATATACTGTATAATTGTGAACTAATAATTCTGAGTTTTTGGTGACAGACTAATACCTCTATAGTTTTAGATACACCACATGTGCTTTCTTTAAAACGGCCTCATTTTAGAGTGGGAAGAGATTCTTCATCTACCATATTTTCCTGGCCAATTTAATAAGCTCCACGACTGTTGTTTCATTTCATTACTTCGAAGCACGTTGTGGTTAGGCTGTGTTACTTCATGATCTCTGAATAGTTATTATCACTCTTAGACCAACCACAAGGAACTGAGGTCGGTACTGCTAATACAGTAGTTTAGGTAACTTGTCACGGTTTATTTACTTTCCACTTATGTTTTCGAAGGAATTTCTTTTCTATAATTAGAAAAGTCATCTAGTAATTAATGCAGTCAACTCTCTACCTCAACTTCATCAACTTTGAAAAGGTCTTCGACAGCGTCAATCGAGAAGTAATTTGACAGCTGCTTCAACACTACAGTTTCAGTGCCACAAACCTTTATCAACCTCATTCAACAACTTTATGAAAACGCCACATGCCAAGTGATTCACAATGGAAAGCTCAGTGACACCTTTGAAATGAAGACAGTGGACAGGAGTAAGACAAGGCTGCCACCTACTATCACCGATGATTTTCCTGATTGTGGTGGACTGAATCATGCAGCAAACCGTGAGGAGGGAGAAGGTGGGCATACACTGGCTGGATCGATGAAAAGAGCCTAGAAGATTTGGATTTTGCCGCCGATGATGATTTATGTTTAATGACGCACAAACTGGAAGATGTACGGGCAAAAACTAACAAGTTGTTGTCAGAAGAGGCGAGACAGCGAAGGAAGACAGGACTTCCTCCAGGTGAACGTAGAGAAGACAGAGGTGATGAAGATACCCAACCAACAACAACAAGCACCAATCACCATGAAGGGGATAAACCTAAAGGAAGTAGTCTCTTCCACCTACACCTACTTAGGCAAGGCTTCATCGTTTCAACTACAGGTAGCAAAGGCGCACATACGAGGGTGTCAAAGCGACCAGGATTGGAAAGACAGCAAAACAGGCCTTCCTGCATTAACCTGAAATCAGTGTGGAGATCTACTGCACTCAGCATAAAGCGTGAATAAGATCGGGATTTTCAACACTAATGTCAGTCAAGTCAGTGCCTCAGAGACTTGGTGTGTTACGAAAGGGATTTCCAACATACTACAGACATTTGTCAACAGCTGCCTACGCTCGATACTGACACTGAAGATCAGATGGCCAGAATAATGAGAATAATCAATAAGGAACTCTGGCTGGCTGACAACGAACCAACCGAGAACACATCGCCCAACAAATATGCAGCTGAAGAAAGTGGAGATGGATTGCATTGGATTGGACATAGACTGAGAAGACCGATTGGGGACACCACGCGCCAGGCCAGGCCCTCGAGTGGAACCCAGAGAGGAAACGACGAGTTGGGTGTCCGAGGCGAGAGTGACATGGAGGAGATAATTTGAGGAAGAAATAAAAGCTTATGGGCAGTCGTTGTGCCAGGTACAAAAGACTGCTGAGAAGAGAGAGAAATGGAGGCGTGCTACTGAAGCCGTATATTCCACTAGGAACCGAAGGGAAAAATAATAGTAATTAATGCTGTTTCACGGTATTTGATAAAGAAAACTAGGATGAAATTGCATCCTACCTTAATACTCATGTTCTATTTCTGAAACGTTCCGCCGAGTGTTTCAACTATCTGAAGATTAATTAGCGTCTTATACCACAGACGGTTCAACTGACACGGAACTTCTTACTGTTCATGATCAGAATAGCTTTTTTCAAAGCTGGAGACCACTTCTGTCTCACCTGTATATTATGATTACTTAGTCTCGCGACTCTTCGTTAATTGAAAAACAAAAAGGGATTATAGTGAGGATGATTATCTTTTCGATGACTTATTTGCACAACTGTACATTCGTAAATATATAAGTAAAATGATAGAATATTCCAGACAAGTTTCCGGTCAAAGTTCAAACTTAATCGATAGGGGGTGATTGGTGTTACGTAACACAAGGCACGATCTCAATAGTTTTCTATAAAATGCAATGAACAGTAAGACTTACTATCTGGTGAAAATAAACATGTAATAAAATATATACAAATAAATAAAATGTAAACAGACGTAGAGTGTATCTTACTTGTTTATATCTCATTGCATGTTTACTTTTACAAGATACCAAATCTTACTGTTCACTTCATGTCATAAAAACTATTGAGATCATATCTTGTGTTACGTAATATCACTTCATCTCCTACATACACCTATCGATTAAATTTAATTTTTGGTCGGAGACTCTTCTGGGACATTCTGTCATTCCGCTAATGTATCTCTGAGTGTACAGCTGCTGAAATGAGTCATCGAAAAGATAATTGTCTTCTCTGTAACCTCTTTTTATCTTTCACTTATCATATAGAGGATTCTTCGTTAATCCTCTGGTAACTGATTTATTCTAAATATCGCTAACATCAAGAAATTGAAGCTAACCCTAAAAGATACAGTGTTTATGAGGTTAACTCATTATTTTAGTGGCGACTTTCACACGCAGCCAGTAACTGTTGACGGATTAGCAAGAAACCTTGGGTTTTTAACTTGGTTCACTAGTTTTTTGAGATACTGAGTTCTAGAAATATGTTTGTTTCAACCCTTTTACTAAAGCCATTTTAATCCTTACAAACGGAATGCAAGGTGAGTTTAGTACACACTAAAGCGTAATCAGAGTTCAAACAGGTGCGTACGAAGTTCTGTATAAACCTGTATCATCAGTGACTGACTTCTGTGTTCTTCGTTTTAAGCTTAGACCTGGAAAAACGTTGAGTATCGTATGAATGGTTACTGTCTTAGGATTTGGTGCGCACTGGAGATAAATTATCATCTTTGTAAAGTTGCAGAAGACAACCGTTGTTATTCGAGTTAAGGTCAACTAGACTGGAACAGCTCCTCTGTGCCTAGAGCTGTTTATTCAACTCTCTCTTCATCACAATACTTGTTGGACGCACTTGTTTAAGGTCACAAACTTCATGGTCAAAATGATCTTATTTTGCATCCCGACATAGCAATCTCTAGATGCTCAGGCAAAGCAGGAGATCAGACAACCTTTTTCCTACAATGAATTTAGAAAGTTGTGTTTAAAAGACAAACTAGAAAATAATTATACGGTACTTGAAACAAGTAGTCCCCTTGATAAATTTAGGCAATGCAATGAAAAGACGGAGATTATCTGAATCGTGTGATTTATTAGCGCTAAACATTTCGAACAATCTGATCACGCATGAACTTGTCGAATAATTTGTATTAAACTTAAAAATGTTCATCATGTAAATTAGAACAAGACATATAAGCGAACAATATTGTTTTCAATTAGATCCTCTTCAGGCTTTACTCTAATAAAAATATCTTTAAAACATTTATCACACCAATCTGACAAATCAACAAGATTGGTTTGATTTCATATACATTATGATATTCGTATTAGAGTAAAGCCTGGAGGGGATCTTATTGAAAACAATATTGTTCGCTTATATGTCTTGTTCTAAACTTAGAAAGCTTAGTTGAGCCAATGGAACTATAATTCAAAAAGATAAGAAGGGCAGAACAAAAACAGGAGAGGAAAAAATAAAGGTGAAATCACCACCACCAATTGTATGAGGAGTTGGACTCAACACTACCAGGGCAGGTTTAGTAGTAAGTACAAATTGTTATTGAATTTATTGATAGCAATTGCAAGTATTCATTCTTGACCATATCCATTATTATTTTATTATTATTAGTCCCTTAGGTTCCTAGTGGAACATAGGGCTTCAGTAGCACGTCTCCAGTGACCTCTGTTCTCTGAGATCTTTTGAACCTGGTTCCACGACAGCCCAGAGGCTCTCATTTCCTCCTCGCACGACCTCCATGTCACCCTCACCAC